GACTAAAGGCCAAAGGAAGACCAAAGGCTTACAGGTTTCAATCTGGCTTACAGATTGAGCCTGGAAGTCAGATTGGCTTCCAGATTGAGCCTGCAAGCCAGATTGGTTTACAGATTGAACCTGTAAGTCAGATTGACTTACAGATTGAGCCTGGAAGTCAGATTGGCTTCCAGATTGAGCCTGGAAGTCAGATTGGCTTCCAGATTGAGCCTGGAAGTCAGATTGGTTTACAGATTGAGCCTGGAAGTCAGATTGGCTTCCAGATTGAGCCTGCAAGTCAGATTGGCTTACAGATTGAGCCTGGAAGTCAGATTGGTTTACAGATTGAGCCTGCAAGTCAGATTGGCTTACAGATTGAACCCTGTTTGAACATTACTGTTTTCTATGGACAAGTTAAAAGCCAGACATGAATCAATCAGGCTTACAGGCTTATTTGATCATTGTACAGTACATTGAGCACTTGTGGAAATAGCGCAATTGTAAAAGTTGTAAATCAACAGCTTCAGCTGGATCTCTAGGGATCAAATATTCTTTTTTTTTGCTTTTAGCTTTTCATATTTCATAGAGAGAATATCTTCTGGATTTCTCAAGGGATTTTCTTCACAGACACCGCCTTTCACAAAGATTCTATTAGGAAAAGAAAGAAAAAAAAGAGAGTGAAAGGGTTTTTCAAAGCACATCCCTATCCCACTCTTTTGTTTTATTAGTGGACTGGGAGTTGAGGCTGAATTATGGCTGTTTGCGTTTCTTGTCTTTCGGTTCGGCTATGGTTTTCGAGAATTTATTGGGTGAAACATTGGGGGGAAAGGTTTAAGATAGGGATTTTTTTGATTTTCGGGTTTAAGATAGGAACTTGGATAGAATATGAGATGGATACATTTGATAGAATATCAGCTGGATACATTTAATAGAATATCAGCTGTACTTTGATAGAATATCGGCTGGATACAAGTATTCAAAAAGTATTCAAAAGGATTTTAAATTCAAATTACTTTTTGAAATCTTAAAAACTCATCGCAGGAAAGACTTTAAAGAGGCTTTTTTTTGATGAAAAGAAAAAAAGGATTGTTGTTTTTTTGGATGTTGCAAAAAGAGAAAGAGATCCCGCTGGGGGTTCCTGTATTTCATTTCGAGAAGACAACTGTGAGAAAGGAAGCAGAGGGGTTCAACTATTAAACTGAAATTTGGTAATTCATTGAGTTCAATGAATAGGGATTGTAGTTTGAAGTTTGACAAGAAAAGAGATTCTAAACTTGAGCTTGAGTTTAAGCTTAAGCTCAAGCTCAAGCTCTACCTCTAGCTCTAGCTCTATCTCTAGCTCTATCTCTAGCTCTATCTCTAGCTCTATCTCTAGCTCTAGCTTTAGCTCTAGCTTTAGCTCTAGCTTTAGCTCTAGCTTTAGCTCTAGCTTTAGCTCTAAACAGTAGACTGGAAGTTGGGTTCAGAAACGTTTTTGTATAAACGTACGTGATAGATCTAGATTAGTACAGTACAGTAGATCTAGATTAGCTGTCCATTTCTTGAGTCAAACACTCTTTACAATAGCTTAGTACAGAGCACAGTGTTCTTTTCTAAAGTTTCCTTTAAACCATTCTCTTTACTCCTTACTACTAGATTACTGTAAACTGTTCGATTTCATATTTTCTGTTTCTGTTATTATTATCATCATAGTGAGATAGATCTAATCTTTATCCAATCAACTCAAATCTTAAACTAAAGAATGGTTGACAGAAGGTGTGAGAGTCTCGATTCACAGCCTCGAGAGTCAAAAGAAAGAGAGAGATCTATTCAGTGACAAATGGCGTCAAATGTTCGCGCGGCATCAAATCAAAGAAAAGAAGGAAGATCTATTTTATGAGCCTTCACTGAATACCAAGGGAAAAGATTCGGGCAAATTGAGACATAGAAGACATAGAAGAAAGACAAGAAAAGAAAGGGAAGAAGATAGAAATAGAAAGAGATCCGAGAATTGATTAGTGGGCCCACTTTCAGTCTTTAGTCGGTGACAGCAGGCTCGTAAATGGGCGAAAACAAATCGTCTTTTCAATCCTCTTTTCAAGAGGGGTCTAAATATTTACCTTCAACGATCTAAGAAGAAAAAAAGCTATTTGAATTTTAAAAGAAATGAGAATTATCAATGAGGATTATCAATGAGGATTATCGTAGTAAAAAAGTGAGGTTGAGTCGGCTAAAAGTCTAGAAATATGAAAAGAATTACTGTAATGGGATTAGGGAGAAGACTAATTGATTGATTGAAGTTAATTGATTGAATTTAATTGATTGAAGTTGATTGATTGAAGTTGATTGATTGAATTTAATTGATTAAAGTTAATTGATTGAATTTAATTGATTTAAGTTGATTGATTCAAGTTCATTCAAGTTAGATTCAAGTTAGATTCAAGTTAGATTCAAGTTAGATTTAAGTTCATTCAAGTTCATTCAAGTTCATTCAAATTCATTCAAGTTCATTCAAATTCATTCAAGTTCATTCAAATTCATTCAAGTTCATTCAAATTCATTCAAATTCATTCAAATTCATTCAAGTTCATTCAAGTTACATTCAAGTTACATTCAAGTTAGATTCAAATAGATCTCCTTTTTTCTTTCAAACTCTTCACTTGATCTTTTCTTTTCCATAAACATTTCAATTTCTTCAATTTTCATTGTTCTTTTCGCTAACAAATGACAAAATTTATTGCTGTAGATCCACATAAAAACTTAAACGATTGAGAAATTGCGTAATTTTTTCATTTTTTCATTTGTCTCTTTGTCATTGTGTTTAAATGCTCAAAAAGCTTTGTGACACAAATTATTGCCTATTATTCGTGAAAGAATAAGAAAAGGACAGGTGTCATTTAGAAAAGAAAAAGAAATAAATAGACAAGTTGAGATGGGTAAATGAGGGGAGAAGTTTAGCGGAATGTCGATCTGAAAAACAAACTCTATATATTGTTTTTCTACATACAACTCGACTTTACATATTCTTGAAAATCTTCTAGCTGTGGAGCTCAAGTTTTAACTAAGTTTAAAGCCTTTTCAGCTTACTGGCTATAGATTCATTGAGAGCTCTGCCTTCTAATCAAGACTTAAGTCTTGATTAGAAGGCAGAGATTAGAAGTCTTGATTAGAAGGCACTCTGCTTGCTAACCGACAAGCTTCCTTGCTAGCCGACAAGCTTCCCAGCTAACCGACAAGCTTCCTTGCTAGCCGACAAGCTTCCCAGCTAACCGACAAGCTTCCTTGCTTACTTGCTTCCATTCGATCAGATTTACCAATTTAATTGAACTTGCAATGCAATGGTCGAATAAAATCAATTAGCGACAAAGGTTGTGGTTACAGTTTCCCCAACCCTCATCATTCTCTTACAACTTTACCTCACTCTTAACCCCCCCAAATAGCCAAGTTACAGTAAGCTGAGACGAAAACATTTCATTGTTTGACTATTGGAAGTAAAAGGAGAAAAGACTAAAAAAAGAACTTTTCGTAAAGAGAGAAGTCTTAATCAAACAGGAGTCAGCTCTTTCTTTTTCTTCTTTTTCTTCTTCAATCTTTTTTCTTTTCACATTCAATTCAATAGTTTTCCCCTTGCTCCATTTATTGCTCCTTTTCTTTTTGGAAAGAGTTGAGACGAGGGTGAGCAAAAGAATTCTCATTTTAACTCAAACCAACACTAAACTTTACGAAAATTGGGGAGTTGATTGAAAATTGATTCAATTTTTGGGTTTTAAGTGATAAAATGATTGATTAGATGTGTAGATTTGGCAAAAAAAATGAATGTTATTTAGTGTTAACTGGTGGCCTTCTGGGTAAGGAATTTTTTTTTCTTTCCCACAGAGCTGTCCGCAGTGACTGCAGTGCTGTCTGCAGTGACACACGCCAGACTAATTGACTTGACCTGGGAAATACTTGGAACACCTGTAAGCCAGATTAGGCTGGACCAAAGTTAACGAGAGCAAAAGGCAAAGGCCAAAACTTCTATTGGGTATCAAACCCTGATCATGTGAGGGGAGCGTTATCCACTAGGCCACCCCCTGTACCACCATTAGAAAGGAGTGTTTTAAACCATCGCTTTCGTCATTCGTTTCAAATTTTCGATTAAAGTTTTACAGTTTTGGAAAGTGATTTGGTAAATTTTGATTTGAGATTCGGATTTCTCATCCTCGATTTGATAAAATCCAAACAAAAGCTCATCTTTATTTTGTGCTTTTCCCTATTTATTTTCCCCGAATCAACCCGATGAGTCTAGTTGGTTCTTAGCCATTGATGTCTGTCTGTTTACCATTGATGTCTGTCTGTCTGTCCAATGTCTGTTTACCTTTTTAGGTATCCTTGATGTTGAGTGTTGAGTACTTGAAGTCTAGCTTTACCATAAATCACTTCTCATAAATTGCTTTCAATTCATCGATTCTCCTTTTGATCTTCTTCGAAATCGGTTTCTTTTCTGTGTGATCATCATCATTTTCTTCATTCAATTCTCCTTTTCTGAAAGAAAGACACCGCTTTTCACTCTTCTCCCTCATAAAAATTAGCATAAAGGGTCGAATGGAAAGAGATTGAATGAAGGGAAAAGAGAAAGAAAAAGAGAAAGAAGAAGAGAAAGAAGAAGAGAAAGAAGAACAGAAAGAAGAAGAGAAAGAAGAAGAGAAAGAAGAACAGAAAGAAGAAGAGAAAGAAGAAGAGAAAGAAGAAGAAAAGGCCTGTAAATCTTTTGTAGAAGCACAAATTGAGTAAACAGACTGACTTTAAAGGGAAAGTGAGGAGAAATTGGAGACATTTACAAGGGGGAAATCGGGATGGAGAGGCTTTGAGAGGGAAAGTGATTCCAGATGTGATTCTTATGAAAACAGAGTGAACAAGGGGTCATTTATAATTCTGAAAATAGCCATTGCTTTGAGTTTTAAGTTAAAAAAGGTTGAAAATGATTTTGAGGTGGATGATAATGATGAAAATGATTTTGAGTGAGGCTAGCTTTGAGTCAAAATGTTTTCTTGATTTCAAAAATGATTCAATCACTCGTAAAGAAAGCTTTTACAAGTCTAGTACTTTTTTTTTGCACTTTATATTTTCTTTTTCTAGAGCTTCAACTTGATGAGGAAGGATGTGCGATCTGTCCGATTTGTTCGGAGCGTTTACCCGACTCAGAATGGAGTGATCATGTGGAAGAGGAGAGGAGGAGATTGAGAGACGCTATTTTGAGGTAAACTTCAAGCTCTTGCAGCTTTTTGCAAGCAATGATCTTGCAAAAATCAGATTTAAATTTTAGTTTAAAAAGCGATCGATCATGTGCTCAAGAGAGTATTCCCGGGATCGTCGAGGCATCACGACGAAAACGCGAGAACGAGCTGGCTCGAGTCAAAGCAAATCAAATGAAACGATTGGCTTGTGAGTGCTTTATAGGTATAGGAAGAAAAAAGAAAGTAAAATGTAAAGTTCCTATTTGGTTTCTATTTGTTTCCTATTTACCTCTTTGTAGTTCCTATTTGATTCGTATTTATTAAAAGAAAAAAGAAAGTAAAATGTAAAGTTATACAATTGAATCAATATATGATTAATAATATGATTTTAGTGAAACGAGCGGTTGGACCATCGACCTCTGTACGTGACACGATGACTCCGTTCAGTCGACAGGTGAAGAGATTCTAGAATTTGTTTCCTTAAAAAATCTTAATCAAAATCTAATTTAACAGAATTACGATAGCTTTTCCTAGAGAATACCTTTTAAAAAAAAATTTTTACTAACTAGAGAATGTTGTGAACTTATCGTGACTCGATAAGTTACTTATCGAGTTACGATAAGTAACTTTTGAGTCGGGAAATAGCCTATCTGATGCAGTTTTTCACACTGATTCCGAATTTGCAATCAAAAGTTACTTATCGAGTTACGATAAGTAACTTTTGACTCGGGAAATAGCCTATCTGATGCAGTTTTTCACACTGATTCCGAATTTGCAATCAGTTTTCGCTTCTCTATCGCGAGATATTTGGCATCCAAGTTTTTGGGGTTTCTTTATGAGGGCGACGCACTGTCTTCAGTCAACGGCTTCGGTGATGTAGTGGTTAGTGCGCGCGTCTGCCGGGCGTATGCTCTTTTGGACCCGGAGGGTTCGAGTCCTCTGTCTATATCAGACATGCTTTCTTTTATTCTTTTCGCCCATTTTATGAGCTTGTATGCCAAATATCTCGCGATAGAGAGGCGTTTGACAAAAACTGATTACAGATTCGGAATCAGTGTGAAGAACTGCATCAGATAGGCTATTTTCCGAGACAAAAGCCACGATAAGTTAACAACATTCCCTAGTAAGATGTTTTTTCTTCAATTAGATTCCTATTGACGTGCGATTGTAAGGAAGTGACGCGAAAGCGGCGCGCCGGGCTTTCTAAAGCGTGGATACGTACCGTACCCCGCACAAAATTCTCCTTTTGCCATTCTTTTCATTTTCTTTCATTCCTTCATTCGGAAACTTTGCCCGTCTTTCTTTCGTCTGTCCAAAAACTTTGCCAAATCTTGCTAAGTTTTCTTTCCCCCGATTCGAAAAATCTATTATTTTTGTAATGCGTTTTTAAAGTACCATCTCCCCTCGCTCGTTCCCCCTTTTTTTATATTATTTCCTCATAGCTTATTGTATTCTAATACGGTTTTATTTCGTTTTCGTTACGGTTTTCGGTTTTTCCCACTCCATTTTATTAAATCTGTTCACAAATACCGTTTAAACTCAACTGAAGCAATTTCTTTTAACTAAAATGCAAATCTAAATAGTCTGTCACAGCGCGATCTTCTCCTTACTTCATTGTTACGTGTTGACTCTTCATTTACAATTACAAGAGATATTTTTCTGCTTGAATGAGGGCAATAAATCCACGAAAACCCTTTGTATACAGCCAATATTCACTTCTTCGTTTCTCAATATAGACTATTTTGTGGGTGTGTTGATGAGAAAAAGAGATTGGATGGGGAAATTGGTTGTAAACGACTTTGGGGGTGTGCAATGAATGCCAAGGGATAGGGGTTAATAAGAAAATGTGTAAAAAAAGCAATGATTCTTAAACAATAGATGATCAGAATGTACTTGCTTTACTTATTTCTTATTTTCAGTTCTTATTTACCAACCTTATTTTCAGTCTGACGGTCTCAACTCGCCCGACTCGAAGCCAGCCAGCGAGACGAACAATATTCGATGCTCGATCTGTTCGGTTTGTGTTTTTTTTGCTTTTGGAAAATAAAATACACTACTGGACAATGAAATATCATATTTGAAAAAACTCTTTTGCACTTTCGCGCGTCTGTAACTCCCTTGTCTTTACCGTATTTCTAAATATTAATATTACCATTGTGTAGCCCTTGAAAAGAGCTTTCAGAGAATGTATAACACTAATAGTTTAAACTCAAAGACAAGGGAGTTACCGACGCGCGAAGGTGCGAAAGAGTTTTTTCAATTATGATATTTCATTGTCCAGTACTGTACCTAGCTTATACCTAGGTACTTGGAAAGCTTAATTATATTTATAAAAGCCTTTATTTTTAGAGAGACGTCGAGTATTGTATTGTTGCGGCGAGCTTCGAGAATCCTCGATGTCAGATGTGTTATGATACATTCCGCGCCACTCCGACTGCCGTTTTGATTCCAGCTACAGTGAGTGGATTAAAAGAACTAACAATAAGCATATTAAATGATAGAAATCTCATGAAATCAGCGTTTTGTCACTGTTTGAACTTGACATAATTGATGATTCCCCATTTCTTTGATTTGAATCCTTTATGACGCAATGCACTCAATGATCAAAAGCTTCTTTTTGAGAATAAAAAGGAAATCACCGAATAAAGGGTGATTTCTCGAGAGAATGGGGGAAATGCCTCTTGAGAGAACACACTTGAGTAGGGGAAAGAGGAGGGGATAAGGGTCCCATAATGATCCAATAAAGGGATAGGGAAATGGCTGTGCTTGTAAAAAGCGCATAGATAAATGTAAGTATCTTTTCTTTTCTGAAAACTATCCAGAATCTAAGCATAGTACTCGTGGCTTGCTCTCGAGAGGTGTACTTTGTGCTAACTGTTCTAGTTCTAGCTCTAGTTCTAGTTCTAGTTCTAAACGCGCCCCTTCTAGTGCATCTTAATTCTTCATTTTTAGTGCAAAACTTGCTTCTTTATAGACAAAGACAAGTGACTTGATAGTGCAGAAACTAAAGAATCGATTGTGCCAGAAAAGGTGCGTTTATTTACAAGGGAAGGTCACAAGACTGAGGTGACCAAATGACATACGCGCAGAATTTTACACTGATTCTGATGTTGCTATCCGTTTCTGCAAAATGATTCGGGAAAAAAGAATCTGGCAAACAAGTTTGAGATAAAATTAGGCTAAAAATCAGTCTCTTTCATCAGTCATAACGCTTTTTTCATCTGCGCTTGTGGTGTAGTGGATAGGAGTCTTGTTTCCGAAACAAACAATAAAGTCTTTGCTCGGGTTCGATCCCTTCCTATTGTTTTCGTTTTAATTTGATACTCAATTACTTGAATTCGCTCTATTTTAACTTCAAGAAGTAATATGATCAAAATTGATTGATTATGATTATGATAATATTTTAATTATTAACAAACAAAATTAGCAAAAACAAAAACAATTAGCAATCTTTAATGAATGAATGAGTGGTTTAGATATAAATTAGATATAAATTAGATATAATTTAGATATAATTTAGATATAATTAGATATAATTTAGATATAATTTAGATATAATTAAGATATAATTAAGATATAATTAAGATATAATTAAGATATAATTAAGATATAATTAAGATATAATTAGATATCAATTCAAAGTTTATTTTTAGATTAGCGGCTCTCCGGTCGATCTCCGTCTAAACGCCTCGGAATCATCGGGTTCTGGCGAGTTGAGCCCACCAGAGAAACGCGTCAAAATCGAGGAATAATTTGAATTCGATTTTTTTACATTCATTTGATAATTTTTGAAATGAATTTCTGTGTGTCTGGGCTTTGTCGATTCTTCTTTTTTTCCGATTTCTTATGCTCTCAAATGAATTCTTTTGGGAAAACAACTCGTCAAAAAGGAATCAAAACAAAAACTTATTGATGAGAACTTTGTGAATGTACTGTATTTTTTTGGTTTGTATTCTAGATTTCTATGCTATTTTTGTCGCTTTTCACTGTTTGTACTTTTTTTGCCAAAGTTCTTGCGTAAACGCAAGGCATCTAGTGCACTAATGTCTTGGGTTTTTCATGTTTTTAAGTCTCTCGAAACGAATTTTTGCACTTTTTTCGAATTTTGAGTCAGGAATAGTGTTGAAAAGCCGATGCACTTTGTGCTTCCGGGTAAACGCACGCTTTCTAGTGCACTGAATTCCTCTAGGTAAGAAAATTCGAGGAATTGGACAACGTTATGAGTGCGCCAGAAAGGGCACGTTTCCCCGGGAGCACAAAGTACGGGCATTGTACACAGTACACTGTACTTTAAACGAGCTCTGGTGGTAAATTCTTTTAAATAAAAAGAAATAGTCGATAGCTTTCTCAAAATTCTTCGATTCGATTCCCATGACAACGCCTCCGTTTTCCCCTTTTTTTTAGCGTGAAAGCAATTGCAATTCAGTTGCTTGTATTCGTCTGAAAATCCCCGGGAAACCCAATTTTTGCATCCACCAAAAAATCCGTAAACCCCCTAACTCTTCATTTTTTTAAAGGCTCATCGAAAAAATTTGAAAGTAGTGTCTATTCGATATCTAGTAAAATTCAAGCGATAAATAGCTGTAAAAATTGAGCTCTAGACGCGCGCACAAACCCCCCGACATCTAGTGCACTGACTTTCGACGCGTTTCTGGCTCATTTTTCATCATTTCCATTGGAAAAAAAAAATTCGAATTCCTAACCGATTTCTCGTGATATTTTTGCAAATTTAAGTAATATTTTAGCTTTTTTTTTTCACACAGATTTCACTAGTCTACCCTAATTTTTTTTAATTTTTCTTTTTATTTTTCTTTTTATTTTTTTTTTCTTTTTTTGCTTGTGTGGATTTTTTTTGAACATTCGTTTCCATTTTTTTGAATTTTCTTTTTGGAATAAATATGAATTCGAAGGGTTTTCAAACTACAGAAAGAAAGAAGATAGTTTGAGTTACAGTAGCGGACATTAACTTACGATATTTTTGTGATTATGATAAGAAAAAATATCGTAAGTTAATGTCCGCTACTGTATGTCAATTTATAAAGATTTTTTTTACTTAAAACTTCTTTAACTTGTTTAACTTGTATTTAACTTCAAACTTTCATTTAATTCGTTTTCTTTTAATGTTTCTATTTTTAAAATCAAATTTTAAAATTCTCTGAGGGTTCAAAAAGGATTTTTAAAAGAAGAAGAAAAATTTGATGGATTATATAAAAATTGAGACAAGATTACGGTAGAAAGGGAGAGCTTTTAGAAAACACTCGATTATGGTTATCGTTTAGTGGATTACCGTAGAAAAATATGAGAAATAAGTTAGAATATTCAGCTTATCTGTTTCTAAAATAACTGGAGGATTGGCTACTTTGCGCCATTTAATTTACGCAACAGGGTCTTTTGCGCAACTCGCCATAACTTTCTTCTAAGTGGGCCAATCTTTATGATTTTAATTTCATTTTGTTGCACTTATTGAGATCTACAAAATGACACCAAAATCATAAAGCTTCGCCCACTTAGAAGAAAGTTATGGCAATTTGCGCAAATGACCCTGTTGCGTAAATAAAATGGCGGAAATTAGCCTATCCCCTAACTGGATTTGTCTCTTCATCTAATCACCTAAACATTCTTTGAATAAAAGAAAGGATATTCAATGAAACGCTTCAAATTCTAATAGTCAACCGTGTGGACGGGGGAATAGTGTCGAAAAGAAAAAAGGGAAAGAGAGTAAATCACCTTGACAACCATTTCTCTTTTCATTTCTTTTCCTTTCTTTTCCGATTTCCAAAAGCTTTTCCCCTAAACGATTGCTTCAATTGGCTTTCTTTTTTTCGCATTTTTGTAAACCATTTTGTAAACCTTTTCCTAAATTTTCTTTAGCCATTTTTTGAATGCACTTTGAATTTCTACAAGATGAGCGATCCGAATAGCGATTGGGTACAACAAAATCTCCAGAGACAGGTAAAGGAAAAGATCTGGGAATCCGGTAAATAAAGAAAAAATAAAGATAAGCAAATATAATTGTTCATCGAAAAGTTTGAAAGTAGTGTCTATTCGATATCTAGTAAAATTTAAGCGATATATAGCTGTAAAACTGGACTGAGCTGAGCTTTGAACTGAGCTGAGCTGAGCTTTGAACTGGGCTGAGCTGAGCTGAGCTTTGAACTGGGCTGAGCTGAGCTGAGCTTTGAACTGGGCTGAGCTGAGCTGAGCTTTGAACTGGGCTGAGCTGAGCTGAGCTTTGAACCCCCCGCCATCTAGTGCATTGACTTTCGATGCGTTTCTGACTCATTTTTCATCATTTTTCATCATTTCCCTTGGAAAAAAAACTAATTCCTAGCCGATTTCTCGTGATACTTTTGCAAATTTAAATAATATTTTAGCTTTTTTTTTTTCACACAAATTTCACTAGTCTACCCTAGCCATTTTTGAATGCACTTAATTTCTATTTTGTTGTACCCAATCACTATTCGGATGAGCGATCCGAATAGTGATTGGGTACAACAAAATCTCCAGAGACAGGTAAAAGGAAAAGATTTTGAGATTCAAAGATAAGCAAATAAATGACAAGTTCTATGCCTGATCTTTGAGTGAATACTGTTCAGTAACCGGTTCACAGTTTAGTCCTTTCAATGTTTATATGCTTTTAACTCACTGTGTAGTGTTTAAAAAGCGCACTCTCAATTGCAGTACTGATACTCACTGACTAAAACTCTTAATCAGTTTCATAGCCTTTAGCCTGTTCCCTTACAAGGAAAGCTCAAAGTCTAATGTCCCAAATATTTGTTTATATAGCCCAAATTTGTCCCAAATACAAAACGATATTTGAAATTATAATAAGTAGATTATATTTGGAAAAGAAATTAGCTAACCTATAAAAAGCGAAAATAAAATCACCCGTCGGACTTGAACCAGAAAGGTCTCGACTCTGATCCTAACCCACAACCACTCGGCTACCGCCGCATTGAACCTACCTCTACAGAGAAAGGGGTTATAATGTCTATTTTTGATTTTACCAAACTTTAAACCCCCATAACTTTTGATAGAATGTCATTTGGAAAAAACGAAATACAGCATCGGATTCAGCGTGAAATTCTGTCATTTGTCATTTAGCCAGCACATCCAGTCATGTCACTTAACCAGCACATCCAGATGTCATTTAGCCAGCACATCCAGTCATGTCATTTAACCAGCACATCCAGTCATGTCATTTAGCCAGCACATCCAGATGTCATTTAACCAGCACATCCAGATGTCATTTAGCCAGCACATCCAGTCATGTCATTTAACCAGCACATCCAGTCATGTCACTTAACCAGCACATCCAGATGTCATTTAGCCAGCACATCCAGTCATGTCACTTAACCAGCACATCCAGTTGATCTTCTCTTGTTAGAAAATTCAAAATTCTAGCTTGACTTTTTGGCTATCTTTCCACCTTGTCAAACTCATCATTTTAACAGTTAGCAAGGTCATTAGATCAGGATTTTGGAAGGAATTCTAAATCTAGTTCTAGAAAATAACTAACTTAAAAGGTTTAGAGGAAAATTCTCGAAGAGAAGCAGAGACAGAAACGGTTGGCGTCGACAGGCATTCGGACAAGCAATTTGCCAAGCTCGATCGCTCGGCCAGTCACCGGATCGATGAGGTTTTGAAAATTGATTAGCTGAAAATTGATTACATACAGCTTATAAAGTACTTGGTAAAGATTAAAGGTCAATAAAGAGCTCAATTTGCAACTTTAGAGGCATCACGAGCGCCTCATCGAATGACCCGACCGGTTGCTATGATGGGCCGTTGTCGTTCACGTTCGTTTCATTTCTAAGAACGAAAATTGTGTATAGTTAAAGAAATCTAAGATGTAAAAGGAATAAGCTTTGGTAATTGTCGATATTTTCCGCAAAAATTCAGCAAATATTTGCATAAAATGCCGAAATTTGCAAACGAATTTCGTAAAAAGCTCGTTTCTCAATCGTTTTCTGCGAACAACATTTAAGTATTTGCAAAGATTTAATGCAAAGATCAACAGTACGTACCGTAAATAGTACGTACCGTAAATACTGTAATAATACCCCACTCCCCTCGTACAGTCGTGTAGTCGCAAATTTTTTTAGTATTTCATTTTTTTCAAAGCGCTTGTACTTTCAAAAAACGCGTCTTTGGTATCAAAAAATAGCTGAAATTCAGGGCTATTTTTTGATACCTAAACGAACATTGTAGCATAAACTAGTGTCGAGAAAAACTCTTTCAAAGCTAGACTACGCAAAACTCCGCATCGTCATTATGGGCGGTGGAGTACTATTACAGTATTTACGGTAAGTATTTGCAAAGATTTAATGCAAAGATCGTTTCGAACTCTTTCCTAAAGTATTTGAAAAGAAAGGAAAGAGGAAAGCGATCGATTTTTATTCTCATTTGACTTTAATAAAAGCTTTAGACCAGACCCGGATTCAACAGGACCAACTTTGATCACCGTGAGAGGGATGACACCGCCGCCGGATCGAAATGGGATGTGAGTAAAGGATTTGCGTCTTAAGAATAAGAGAAATTCTTGAAAAACCTTTCTTATTTTCATAATTTAAGGCCATAAAAGAGCGATTAGAGGCATAAGAGATAAACTGCTTTAAGCCAAGTCCTTTACTTTCTACTTTACTTTAACCCAAATGCTTTACTTTCTATTTTACTTTAACCCAAATGCTTTACTTTCTATTTTACTTTAAGCTAATTGCTTTCTACAGGGTGTTCCACAATTACTGATACCTGATAACTAATAGGTTGATGCATAAGTCTTTTCGTTTTTTTCGTACTTCTGTTAAAAAGTAACAAATTCACCAATTAATCTACAGGGTCCGAGAAAAGTATTGTCGCGTCTCTTTGAACTAACTTTTATGCGATTTAAAAGTATCCTTTTGCGTTGTGTAAAACATGAATTTTGTCCAGTTTTTTTTCCTCTTTCGAATGGTGCATAGCATTCAATGTGTATTTTTAGAAATGCAAGCTTGCCCTCATCGAGAAGCGATCGCCATGCTTTTGAAAGCCGGAGAGTCGAAGGCGGCCATCTCGCGAAAGCTCAAAACCAACATCAGAACTGTTCAACGGCTTGCCAAACAATTGCAAGAGAAAGGACACGTCAAGGAGCAGCCGAAAAAAGGAAGACCTCGATCGGTGAACACGCCAAACATCCGGAAGCTCATCAAACAGCGAATTGATCGAAACGACGAGCGAAGCTTAGGAAAAATGGCCAAGGAGCTGAAAATCTCGGATTGGTCGGTTCGGAACATTGTGAAAAAGGAGCTGGGACTTCGTAGTTATCGTCTGCGACAAGGCCAGTTTCTTACCGATGATGCAAAATTCAATCGAGTTTAAAAAGCCAAGCGACTCCTTTGTTTTTTTAAGACGGCACGCATCGAGGACGTCCTGTGGTCAGATGAGAAAATTTTTACCATCGAAGTGGCCCACAATTCCCAAAACCATCGTCAACTGATGTCACCGGCCCAGAAGAACACTTTGAAGCGGAAAATCCGGACACGGGGTCTTTTTCCGAAAGGATTGATGGTTTGGGGAGGAGTGACTGCGGATTCCAAGACTCAGCTTGTTTTCATCGACAAGAGTGTCAAAATCAATGCCCAGGTTTACCAAGATCAGATTCTCAAGAAAGCTGTGATCCCCTGGAGCCGAAAAAACCCTAACATGACCTTCCAGCAGGACTGGGCCCCGGCCCATGGAGCGAAAACCACAATGGACCTGATTCGGCGCGAATTGCCCTCTCATTTCACGAAAGAAGACTGGCCCAGCAACTCGCCGGACCTCAACCCTTTGGATTTTTCAGTATGGGGCTTCTTAGAGGAACGTTTGAGGCATAAGAAAATCGCAAATCTTGGTGAGCTCGAGAGGAAATTGATCGCTGCCTGGAACGATATTGATACCAACTACCTCCGTGCCACCGTCGGCTCAGTGATCCCGCGTCTGAAAGCCTGTATCAAAGCCAAGGGGTCCAATTTCGAACACTTGTTATAAATTTGAATTTTTGGTTATTTATCTGTTATTTTTTTCAATAAATATGTTAAAAGCTCAATTTTGAAAAAAGATATGATGGTTGGAAAAACGACAATACTTTTCTCGGACCCTGTATAGTTTGCTCTATAAAAAAAGTGTTTTTTTGTTCAATTTGCATCTTTTTAAATGAATTTCGGTTCACTTTGAAGCAAATTCGAGAGTGAAAAACGCCTTTTTCGTAAAAATCCTTAAAAAACTCTACGGAAAAATTGGCTGAATGAATTTCTCTGAAATATTGGCGAAATATCAAACGTTTTTTTCTCTATCTTTTATCTATTGACACGAAGATAGGTTTTCTTTAGCTAAGGTGTCTAAACCGCATCATCGAGTTAGCCCTTTTTGACTACCCGACTTTATACTCTCAAGAAAATCCAGGCATATTTTTAAACCCGCTTTAATGTTATTTTGCAGAAAAATAATTGGTTTTTCTAATGAAATCAACCGTAGTTTAATTGGTGCATTTGTTGGCTTGAAACGGCAGACGAAAAGGAACAAAAACACTTATGCATCAACCTAATAGATAAGAGAAATTGACTGGGGTGCCTCTGAAAAACTATCCTAGCCTGGTGATGGCTCAGCAGCCTGGTGATGGCTCAGCAGCCTGGTGATGGCTCAGCAGCCTGGTGATGGCTCAGCAGCCTGGTGATGGCTCAGCAGCCTGGTGATGGCTCAGCAGCCTGGTGATGGCTCAGCAGCCTGGTGATGGCTCAGCAGCCTGGTGATGGCTCAGCAGCCTGGTGATGGCTCAGCAGCCTGGTGATGGCTCAGCAGCCTGGTGATGGCTCAGCAGCCTGGTGATGGCTCAGCAGCCTGGTGATGGCTCAGCAGCCTGGTGATGGCTCAGCAGCCTGGTGATGGCTCAGCAGCCTGGTGATGGCTCAGCAGCCTGGTGATGGCTCAGCAGCCTGGTGATGGCTCAGCAGCCTGGTGATGGCTCAGCAGCCTGGTGATGGCTCAGCAGCCTGGTGATGGCTCAGCAGCCTGGTGATGGCTCAGCAGCCTGGTGATGGCTCAGCAGCCTGGTGATGGCTCAGCAGCCTGGTGATGGCTCAGCAGCCTGGTGATGGCTTGGTTTTTCTAATGAAATCAACCGTAGTTTAATTGGTGCATTTGTTGACTTGAAACGGCAGACGAAAAGGAACAAAAACACTTATGCATCAACCTAATAGCTTGAAAAAATTTTTTTTGAGTAGAAAAGTTGTGATGAAACTTCTGTTTTTAACAAATTAGATAGTAAAGTAATGGAAAAACAACAATTATTGGATATGTCCTTCTTTCGCGTTGATACAGAGCTGAAGGTGCTTCGGGAAGTCGTCGACCGTGGCACGCAAGTAGGGGAGATCCATCACCGAGGTCGGATGAAGAGAATGCGAAACTGATTTCTGTGGATTAGAAATGCCGTAAATTCGATCGTTTTGCTTGTTCAACACTTGCTGGACCGTAAAAACTTTCTCATCGGTGAAAAGAATCCTTCGGTGAGCTTTTCCAGGAAACCGAGCAAGAAGTTGAGCACAACGCTGCTCTCTCTTAAGTTTTGTAGCATCGGTAATTCCGTGACACTTGTTTTTCTTGAAAGCTTTCATTCCTAAGCGTTTTCGAACGATTCGATGCATCGAAGTCACAGGAACTTTCATTTCACGAGCCATTTGACGAACAGATCTCTCTCCGGGTTGCGCCTTATTCTCTCGCGAACGTCCTTGATAACAGTCTTAACAGCCGAAGTTACAAGTCTTCCACGTCCCTTTCGATCCTGATTTGTTCCAAGAGACTTAAAACGTTTGCATGTTCGCAAAACAAGTTGTTTTGTCACTCTCAGTCGTTGACCATGCCGGAAAACGTTTCTTGTGAAGAGAAATGATCAAGTCGCGAAAGCTGAGAGGGCTTGGCCATTTCTAAAAAAGGACAATTTTTTTAATTTTTTAAATATTATTAAATGAAAACAAGTTTAAAACAAGAAAAACTTAAAAAACAGTCAATAAATCGCTCGCGTTGGACAATTTAAATGCTTTTATCATGAGGGGTCGGGGTATCAGTAATTGTGGAACACCCTGTACTTTCTACTTTACTTTAACCCAAATGCTTTACTTTCTACTTCACTTTACTCCTTTACTTTACTTTGTAAAAGGACTTTAAGGCTCGGGCCTGACAAACGATTTATAGTAGTTTTCTCTTTAAATTGATTTCTATTCTAGGACTGAAGACGAATTGATGAAATCGATCGGAAATCGAATGGGGAATACAAGTTTGAACTCATCGTCAGCCGGTCAACGATCGACAGTGCCAAGTCCAGCAAAAACCGATACCGGATACGGGAGTCGACAAGAATCTAGTTTGAGATTATATTTATTATTTTAAATTTTAAATCTCTTTTCTAATCTAGCACTTGGAGCCGATGCAGCAGCTGTAGGCAGCGACGAAGAGGAGGCAAATGTTGAACCGTGGAAGGTTTGTGAAAAAAAAAAAAAAAAGGATTTTTATAGTTAAAAAGAAACTCGAATAGCTTCTAGGAACGTGAGGAATTAGAGGAGCACGTTTTACCGTCAAATCTTCAACCAAACTACGAAGAGATCACGAACGATTTGGATAAGTGAGCAATCTAAATATTATATTAAAAAAGAAATAATTTGAATGATGTAAAGCGATCATTTTTAGATTTGTGATGGCTCCAGCAAAGCGAAATATCACATACAAGTGTTCAATAACGAGAGATAAAAAAGGGATGGATCGGGGAATGTATCCGACGTATTATCTACATTTAGAGAAAGAAGATCGACGAAAGGTTGGCTTTCAAAAGGAAATTTGAAAATTTTCATCGAAATGCAGGGCTTTGCAGTTCAAATTTTAACCTTAGCCTTAGCTAAAGGTTAAAATTTGCTTAGCCCAGCTAACCTTAGCCTTAGCTGGGCTTAGCTTTAACTTCAGCCTTAGATTAGCTTAGCTTTAACCTTAGCCTTAGATTAGCTTAGCTTTAACCTTAGCTTTAATCTTGTAAACTTTTGCCTGGCTTGGATAACCATGGCTTTTTTTGTTTTTTAGAATCTTTGAAACCTTTGAAATCTTTGAAATCTTTGTTTTTCGTAGTTCCTCTTTAGATCTTCCTTTTGGCTGCTCGAAAACGAAAAAAGAGTGCTACAGCTAATTATTTGATCACAACTGATGCTACGGATTTGAGTAGAGAAGGAGAGGCGTTTGTTGGGAAAGTGAGGTGAGATCAGAAAGTATCAGAATTTCTTCTTCATCAACAACAAGATCAGTAGATCAAGATCAGTAGATCAAGATCAGTAGATCAAGATCAGTAGCTCAAGATCAGTAGATCAAGATCAGTAGCTCAAGATCAGTAGATCAAGATCAGTAGATCAAGATCAGTAGCTCAAGCTCAGTAGCTCAAGATCAGTAGATCAAGATCAACAACAAGATCAACAACAAGCTGTCAAGAGTTTAAATCAATCATTTTCCAGATCAAATGCTTTGGGCACGATGTTTACTTTGTATGATAATGGACGAAATCCGAAAAAGACACCTGGATCGGATGATGTGAGAGAAGAGTTGGCAGCTGTCATTTATGTGAGTTGAGATTCGATGACTGTACAAAGATTTGATCCGGCTCTCATCTTTCCTTACCTGTTTCGATATACTGTATTGGAAATTGTCTTTCAGCCATGAGCTTAAGATGAAAAAAGTGGATGAATATTATGATTGAAGTCTAATAGGTACAGGGTGTTCAAAAAAAAGCCCGATTTCAACACAAATTTTTGAAAAAGTGGCTGGTTTTGGTTGAAGAAATGGAGAAAAAAAGAAAAAGCTTACTTTTGAAAAAACGTTAACGATAAGTTAAGTCAAATATTAATAAGTGACGTGATTTGTTTTTGAATGGAAATCGAATCGAAGCGGGGGGATGAGCCGGTCATTTCACATGGTACCTGGAGTCCGGAGATGGTTCTTGACCTTGCCTATCTTGGGAATAGGATCTTTAGCTTCACCTTGAAATACATGATTGGTGTATTTGTTAGCTTGCGCTTAGCTTGCGCTTAGCTTGCGCTTAGCTTGCGCTTAGCTTGCGCTTAGCTTGCGCTTAGCTTGCGCTTAGCTTGCGCTTAGCTTGCGCTTAGCTTGCGCTTAGCTTGCGCTTAGCTTGCTTAGCTTGCTTAGCTTGCTTTCTGATAGCACTTTAGAGTTTCTTGTGCTAGAGATTCTGATCCAGAACTCCAGGAATTGTCTCCTCTTTTCTTGGAATTTTCAGGTCAAAAGCCAAAAGAATAACAAAATAACAATTCTTGTGCTAGACATTCTGATCAAAATCTCGAGGAATTGTTTCCTTTTGGCAGCGATGAAGCTGTCAAGAAAGGTTAGAAGGCCAGGCGAAAAGCCAGAAGATTTCAAGATTTCAAGAAAGGATGGCGTTTGATCATTTTAGGCAAAAAAGACCGGTTCAAGCTTTATTTCCATACTCGATTTCAGGATTTTGAATTCATTACGCGATTTCAGGAAACAAACGTCCTCGGCTTTAAAGGACCACGAAAAATGACGATCTTGATTCCAGGGATTTTCGATGCCGAGAACTACAGAAGACGGCCGATTCGACCAGTGACGGTAAACTTGTATCAACAACTTAGGTACTTGTCGGTTGTCTACATTCACAAAGACTCATCTCGGTTAAGCATCCCCATCCGAGTCGTCTCGGTTATCGATTTTCGTTCTGTTAAATGACTGATCGACTTCTAATGATGAATAATGAAGCATCCTCATCCGAGTCTTCTCGGTTATCGATTTTCGTTCGACTCATCAAGTGATCACTTCAGACGAGCACTCTACTTCACTGAATATAATCACCGCTGACAGCTTCTAGCTGTTGTCAGCTTCTAGCTGTTGTCAGCTTCTAGCTGTTGTCAGCTACTTGCTGTTGTCAGCTTCTAGCTGTTGTCAGCTTCTAGCTGTTGCCAGCTACTTGCTGTTGCCAGCTACTTGCTGTTGTCAGCTACTTGCTGTTGTCAGCTACTTGCTTAACCGAATTTAGTCTCTGTGGATGTATAACCGACAAGTACCCCAACTTGCAAAGTCTTTCAAAGCTACAGTATCTGGCGTACCTGCAGCTATCATAAAAACTATTATCTAACAGATCCATTATCTAACAAAGTCTTTCAGGACAGGGACACGATTTTCGAGCGCTACAAGCAGCGCCGAATGGACGAGTTGGTGCTCATGCACAACAAAGCGCCCGTTTGGAATGACGGTTGGTTTTATAATTATAATTTAAACATTACTTAGTACTAGTAATTGTTAAAGTTAAAGTGTACTTTTTGCTCAGAAATTCTTCCTTTACAAGCTGCTATGAGAAAATGAAAGAATTTCATTCTTTTTTTCAAAGTTTTTGACAGTTTTTGACACAAAGTACACCAGAAATTTGTCTATTTTGTGTTCATTTTTTGTCTATTTTTATTTCTTTCAGAAACTCAATCATACGTATTGAATTTCCACGGTCGAGTCACGCAAGCATCTGTGAAAAATTTCCAAATTGTCCACGATGCGGATCGTGAGTTTTGTTTGGATGTTTGGACTTGGTTCGAAAAAAAACAGCATTTCGTCGACCCGCTTTAAAAGACCTATAACTTTGTCTAGAGAGCATATTTTTACAAAAATTTTATATCATTTTACAGAGAACATTTCAGGCTTTCAAATGATACCAAATACAGTTTAATTGGGCTTTTGATTCCCATGCAAACAGGCGACACAACACCCGAGTTGAATACTGACGAGTTGGATACTCATTTGCTCTGATTTTCTTCAATTGGATTTTCCAATCAAGCTCTATTTTGTATCATTTGAAAGCCTGAAATGTTTTCTGTAGAATGATATAAAGAGTTAACTATGATATTATCTCTGAACAAAGTTATAGGCCTTCAAAGTGTGACGAGTCGTTCAAAATACGAAACTAGGCAAGAGTCAAGATTTCTTTTGAAAACAGTACAGATAATGAAATGAAATAATGAAAAACACAAAAGGAAGTAAAATTCTGTGAGAATGTTTTCAGAATTCTTAAGTTTATCCATAACTTGGAGAGAAAAAGGCAAAGGAAAGTTGTTTTTGAGAGCACAAAGTGCAGCTAAAGTTAGTTAAAGGCAGTTAAAGGCAGTTAAAGGCAGTTAAAGGCAGTTAAAGTCAGTTAAAGTCAGCTAAAGGCAGTTAAAGTGCAGCTAAAGTCAGTTAAAGTCATCTAAAGTCATCTAAAGTCAGTTAAAGTCATCTAAAGTCAGCTAAAGTGCAGCTAAAGTCAGTTAAAGTGTAGCTAAAGTCATCTAAAGTCAGCTAAAGTTATCTAAAGTCATCTAAAGTCATCTAAAGTCAGTTAAAGTCATCTAAAGTCAGCTAAAGTGCAGCTAAAGTGCAGCTAAAGTCAGTTAAAGTGTAGCTAAAGTCAGTTAAAGTCATCTAAAGTCATCTAAACTCAGCTAAAGTCATCTAAAGTCAGTTAGAGTCAGCCAAAGTACACTCCTTATCCGAGAAGATCGATAGAAATAGAGATGAGTCGATATTCTTTTACAATGTTATTCTATATTTTCTCAAGAATATTCAATTTCCAGCCGACTACATTGTCATGCAATTCGGCCGAGTTAACGACGAGCAATTCACAATGGATTTCCGTTATCCTCTCTCCGCTTTGCAAGCTTTTGGCATAGCGATGACGTCATTTCACGGGAAATTAGCCTGTGAATAGTTTAAGTAAAAATGAGGATTCGATACTGTTTTTATTGAGCTTTTTATACTTTAAACTTCATACAGTAAATTCAATTTCTCAAATTTAGCAATTAATTTGTGATAAATCTTTTGTCCAATGGTTGTGATATGCATTTTCTTTTTTCTTTTCTTTTTCTTTTTCTTTTCCTTTTTCTTTTCTTTTCTTTTCTTTTTCTTTTTCTTTTAACTGTCAACTCGATCGGTGATCTCACAAGTCTGTCAAAAGTCTGTCAAAAGAGTAAATTCTTGTTTTGGAAATGATTTGTGAAAAGAAATTACAAGAAAAAGGCAAAAATTGTTGATTGGACTGGTTTTTAAAGCTGTAGATCCATTGGAGAAAGGAACAATCAAGAAATTCGCCTAAGATTTCGCATAACATTTCGAACGAACTCTCAAAAAATGCTCAAGATTTTCCTTCTTCTAATAGCCACCACAACTTTGGTCACAACATTTCACCGTGAGTTTTGATAAGGGATCGAAGGGGATAGGGATCACACTTTGATAGGGGATAGGGATCACACTTTGATAGGGGATAGGGATCACACTTTGACTCGAACTCTAGCTTTTTTGATAAGCGATAGAATCAGGGTCAAAAAGTCTTGATCCGTTTTTGACTTGGCTCTAGTCCATTGGTTATATATTGGCTCTAGTCCATTGGTCATATATTGGCTCTAGTCCATTGGTTATATATTGGCTCTAGTCCATTGGTTATATCCCATTTATATTTTAAAATAAAATACATACGAATGTGATAAAAATAATACAAAAGCACAATTCACATCGGCGCGAAATAAGGCAAAAATGCGTTTTCTATCGAATTTTTCTGGTAGTACCTTTTTTAGATGCGGAAAATTGTGCTGATTCCGAATTTGAAGGAATTTTTCAAATCCCTCTGACAGAAATTTTTAAATTTTGTGGTACCCTGCAGTTTGGGGCTCGTAACTCGACAACGAGGGGTCTAGAACCAAAAACGAAGGGATAACTTTTATTCTAGACACTCTTACGAACATTTTGATGCAAAAATCATCAAATTTGCTCAACTCTACAAAAAGTTATAACATTTTTTAAAAAAGAAAAATCCGATAGAAAAATCATTTTCGAGTCGATGTGCAATTCCTAAAGCTCTAAATGTAGAGAAGAAAATGAAAGCTATATTAGATAAAAAAGATAATAAGAAAAAAGAATCTAGCAAGCGGGATCGTACCCTTGAGACTACGAAATGAAGAGCTCAGCCAGTTGGTCATAACGGTGATTGTTGTTTGGGATTAAAGGAGGGTTATCTCCTGGTTTGCTCGTTTTTTATCAGCATTCCTCAGTGCTTAATAAAAAGCAAAGGAATATAAAGGAATATCTCTAGATCTAGATTTGTTAGGAACGATTTGGAAAATCTTTTTCAAAGCAAGCATTAACAAAAGGAAAAGCTTCGTTTAAGCATAACTTAACCTCAAAGTTTCTATAGTATAAAGTCAAAAATTTTAGCCATAAATCAGCACAAATCTTAGTTTCGATTTATTATTTAAGTCAAAAAAAGAATTTGTACTTTAATATATGAAAAGTTTTTAGTATTTAGATTTAGTATTTAGTATTTAGAGTATCGGGATGTCATTTGTAAAACGAAAGACGGTAGAAATCGGGGTGGAGCAGAGAAAGCAAAATGTTCGATAAGTTTGAAGAGTGAGGAGTTCGATCGAGGGAGAAGTGCTAGAGTAGGCGATGGATGTTATGTGGTCAGTGGGGGAATCGAAGGAACATGGTTTAAGGAATGTTTCTCGAACTATTACCGTATTTTCTGTAATAGTATTGGAGTCTATAATAGTATTGCAGTCTATAATAGTAGTGCAGGCTGTACTAGTACTGCAGTCTGTGCTAGTATTGCAGTCTATAATAATAGTGCAGGCTGTACTAGTACTGCAGTCTATAATAGTATTGCAGTCTGTAATAGTAGTGGAGTCTGTACTAGTACTGCAGTCTGTACTAGTATTGCAGTTTATAATAGTAGTGTAGGCTGTACTAGTACTGCAGTTTATAATAGTAGTGCAGGCTGTACTAGTACTGCAGTCTATAATAGTATTGCAGTCTATAATAGTACTGCAGTCTGTACTAGTATTGCAGTCTGTACTAGTATTGCAGTCTGTACTAGTATTGCAGGTTGAAGGGGAGTTGAAAAAACAGTATTTCCCACTACTCTCACAGAAAATACGTTAACTACTAACTACTAAATATTCTCGAAATATTCCTTAGGAACGACTCGGTCGTGGTAAAGAAACGCGAGAGATTTGCGATTTGGTTTGCCCGAAAGCGCACACCGTTTTTGTTGCACATATCGACATCGGACATCGAGCTTGCTTCAACTACTACAATTATGAATTAATTCAGGTAAAATTAATGAGAAAATTTCCTTTCTAATGCCATTTATTAGCAAAAAGACGAATGGTTTTTGATGCGGAGTGGAGAGTGCGCGAATTCGACGATCACTTTCAGGTTGATGCTTTTCATTTGATAAACTTTTAGCTTTTACAAGAGTAGAATGAGATAAGCCCATAATTTATTCGACACAGAATTTCACGCTGATTCCGAATCTGCTTTTCGTTTTTGCAAAATCGCCTTCTATAAAAAGATTTACGTGTTTTAAGTTTCAGAGTGAAAATGCGAAAATTTTGAGCCGAATTTCGAGCCGAAATGCCTTTATAAGAGAACTCTATAAACTCTATAAGAGAACTTTATAAGAGAACCTTTATAAGGTCTCAAACGTGGCTAGATGGTCTAGTGGATAAAAAGGCTTACATACAACACGAGTACCGCATTTTTTTCTGCATTTGAGTTCGATTCCTTTTCGGGTTTGCTTTGCGTTTTGATGTTTTAACACCTGAATTTTATCTGGCCTTAAAATTATTGGGTTAATGCATAAGTGTTTTTGTTCCTTTTCGTCTGCCGTTTCAAGCCAACAAATGCACCAATTAAACTACGGTTGATTTCATTAGAAAAACCAAGCCATCACCAGGCTGCTGAGCCATCACCAGGCTGCTGAGCCATCACCAGGCTGCTGAGCCATCACCAGGCTGCTGAGCCACACCAGGCTGCTGAGCCATCACCAGGCTGAGCATCACCAGGCGCTGAGCCACACCAGGCTGCTGAGCCATCACCAGGCTGCTGAGCCATCACCAGGCTGCTGAGCCATCACCAGGCTGTGAGCCATCACCAGGCTGCTGAGCCATCACCAGGCTGCTGAGCCATCACCAGGCTGCTGAGCCATCACCAGGCTGCTGAGCCATCACCAGGCTGCTGAGCCATCACCAGGCTGCTGAGCCATCACCAGGCTGCTGAGCCATCACCAGGCTGCTGAGCCATCACCAGGCTAGGATATTAGGTTGATGCAAAAGTCTTTTTCATTTTTTTCGTACTTCCGTTAAAAAGTAACAAATGCACCAATTGAACAACGGTTTATTGCATTCGAAAGGCCAATTATTTTTCTGCAAAATGACATTAAAACGAGTTTAAAATGTCTTATGTCTAGATTTTTTTGAGAGCCTGAACTCGGGTAGTCAAAAAAGGCGACGGCTCGATGATGCATTTTAGACGCTTTAGCTAAGGAAACCAATCTTGATGTTAATAAATAAAAGATAGAGCACAAAAAGTTAGATATTTTTTCAGATTTTCAGAGAAATTGATTCAGCCAATTTCTTTATAGAGGTTTTTATAGATTTTTATGAAAAACCCGTTTTCACTCTCGAATTTGCTTGAAAGTGAACCCAAATTGACTTAAAAAGATGGGAAATTCAACAATAAACACTTTTCATTTAGAGCAAACCATAGGTTAATTCATGACTTTGTTATTTTTCAAAAGAAGTACGAAAAAAATGAAAAAGACTTTTGCATCAACCTAATAGTTTTTCAGAGGCACCCCAGTCAATTTCTCTTATCTATTAGGTTGATGCATAAGTGTTTTTGTTCCTTTTCGTCTGCCGTTTCAAGCCAACAAATGCACCAATTAAACTACGGTTGATTTCATTAGAAAAAGCAATTATTTTTCTGCAAAATAACATTAAAACGGGTTTAAAAATATGCCTGGATTTTTATGCCTGGATTTTCTTGAGAGTATGAAGTCGGGTAGTCAAAAAGGGCTAACTCGATGATGCGGTTTAGACACCTTAGCTAAAGAAAACCTATCTTCGTGTCAATAGATAAAAGATAGAGAAAAAAAACGTTTGATATTTCGCCAAAATTTCAGAGAAATTCATTCAGCCAATTTTTCCGTAGAGTTTTTTATAGATTTTTACGAAAAAGGCGTTTTTCACTCTCGAATTTGCTTGAAAGTGAACCGAAATTCATTTAAAAAGATGCAAATTGAACAAAAAAAACACTTTTTTTATAGAGCAAACTATAGATTAATTCGTGAATTTGTTACTTTTTAACAGAAGTACGAAAAAAACGAAAAAACTTATTATTTCCTATTATTTCTCTGATTGAGAGCTCATCAAAACAGCGCTAGCCAAAATCATACACTTGCGGCTAAGTTCATTCTTAAGAATAAGAATAAGAAACGCATAGAAACGTAACCGTGGAGGGGCTATTTTTGCCGTGGCGCTGTTTGTAAACGGCGCTGTTTGTGTAAACGAAAAGACTTATGCATCAACCTAATATTTGAAATTAACTATTTAAAATTATACTATTGGCCTTTTATAAAGCTAAACTATGTAAATTGACATCGATCAAAATACCTTTCCCTTTTCAGATCTAAAAACCAAGCTATAAGCCAACTGGCTTTACTTTCTGAGTCAGCCAGAGACTAGGCATTCACTTGGCTTTTGCTTGGTCAGGCATCTGAATTAGGCATTGTCAGGGTTTAGGCTTAGGCTTAGGCTTAGAGCAGAGCAAGCGAGCATTGCTCTGGACAGGCATGAGCTTGGATTTGATTACAGGGTCTAGAGACCAGTGTAGAACTCGACAAACATCCCAGGCGAAGAATCGCAAAGACAAGGTCCCAGCAAAGCACTTGAAGTGGGACGAAGAGATAATTTTTTGGCTCGTTTCTTTAAACGATTACGATTCTGAAATTCGTTTCAGAATCGGTTGCAAGTTCGACTCACCATTCAACGAAACCTACGCGAATGACGAGGCGGTTTTCGCACATTTGCGCGCTCGTCGCTCCAGAGGATTAAGACTTTTTTGAGAATTTCTGAAAGTTGTCCTGTAGAACAAAAAAAAGCTATCGTAATCTCATTGTTTTTCAGACGTAATCCCATTGTCTTTCAGACAAACGGGTTACGGTATTTTTAGCCAATTCATTTTTTGTCGTTTCCTTTAAAAAAACCTAAATCTTTATTTGAAATCTTAAATTTTCAAACTTTCAAACGATAAACTCTCTACGAAAAAAAATGAGCGATTCAATTGAAAAAAAAAAGAAACAGAAAAGGTTGACCTTGGCGTTTTGATTAAAATTTTGCAAAAAAAAAAAAAAAAAAACCCATACTCTAGCACGAAAAAAAATATAAAGAAAAATATGAAAAATATAAAAAATTTTGAATTTTTTTTTGAAAATTTGAAGCTCTTAAAGTGGGTGTGAAATGGGGAAATTTACAAAAGAAAAAAATCGAGATTTTAAGCAATTTTAAGCAATTTTTGTTTGAGAAATGAGGTCTCGGCAGGGTTGACTTTAAAGGGAAAATGTGGAAAATACAATTAATAAATCGATATCGATCAACTGTCCTCTTCGCCAAACGAGTGCCGCCGAGCCGCCAACGGGCTGAAATTCAGAAATTCAGCATATTCTTTACTGTACGGGCGAATATTTACCGTACTCCTTTCGAGAGAAAGTACTGTAAGCACAATAGAAAGAGTATTGGTAGTTCGTGGAAATGTTTTTGGTTTCTTTCGACGTGATGTTAGATGTTGACTACTTTTAACTGTTTAACTACCCCCAATACAATAGATCACTAAATTTTAGAGGAACAAAAACGAGAAGATCTTTTTGGCTTTTACAGTGACCGGCAAAAGTACACGCCGTATTAAATGTACTCTAAAATTAGTCAATACTTGCGACCTTTTTCCGAGAAAATCCTGGGTTGGCGCTTTAAAGAGTGGTAAAACTACCGTACCCCAATTTGCAGAAGTAAAAGAAAACGCGCAATTTCATTCTTTCATTCTTTCATTCTTTCATTCTTTCATCCTTTCATTCTTCCATTCTTGTTCTTCATTTCATTCTTTTGCGTATTTCATTCTTTCTTCGTATTTAGGTTAATACTAGCTTTTTAGAGCTTTTTTAAAACGCGAAAAAAGGTGCGCTAATGGGCAAGGTGCGCAAATGTCGGGGTGCGCAAATGTCGGGGTGCGCAAATGTCGGGGTGCGCAAATGTCGGGGTGCGCAAATGTCGGGGTGCGCAAAAAAAGGTCGCATTTGTCCCACTCCCAAACTAATTGCGCGCTTTCTTTTACGTCTGCAAATTGGCGGGGTACGGTAGTTTTACCACACTTTAAAGCGCCATCCCCAGGATTTTCTCGGTAAAAGGTGGAAGTAGGTATGCTGGAAACGATACTTTCCAGCATACTTTACAATAGATAAACGATACTTTCCAGCATAGACTCAAGTAAAAAAAAAAACTGTGAAAACCTTTGTCTCGATAATTGTAGATAGAAAATACGAATTGAAATATTTCAAATAAAAGTTTTGTTGATCTATTTGATCGAAAATCGTTTATCTATTGTAAAGAAAAATTTGCAAAGTCAAAAATTTTCAAATAAAAAAACTTTAGACTACTTTAGACTACCATAATAGCATTTTCTAATTTCTAAAAAATCAAAACCGAATTCGAGTAGCTTTTTTAAAAGCTAAATAGCTAAATTTCTCTTTCCCTTTTTGCGCTAAAAATAAACCCAATCGCACGCGATCTGGTGCAGTGAAAATCTCACTCATTTTAGTGCAATAGACTACGTGCGATTGCGTTGTGTAAAAAGAAACCAAACACTTTTTACCCGTTATAGATGATAGTTTGTGCAAAGAATTGCCAGATAAACTTGCAAAAAAAGTCACTTTTTCTCACATGCAATTTGAAATGAATTCCATCACGAAAATGTTACCTTTTTCTTGTGTATTGGATAATGTTCTTAGCCATCAATACTACTAAATCTTTTTCATTTCAATTCATTTACATAACGTAGAAGACTTTCGAAATCAGTACCGATTTGCATACCGTAAATACTGTGATAGTACCCCTCACCGCCCATAATGACGGTGCGGAGTGTTACGTAGTCTAACTTTAAATGCTTTTTTCTCGACACTGTTTTACGCTAAAATGCGCGCTTAGAAATCAAAAATAGCTGAACTTCAGGGTTATTTTTTGATCTTAAAGACGCATTTCTGGAAAGTACGGACGTTTTGAAATGAAATACTAAAAAAATTTTGCGACTACACGACTGTACGAGTCGAACGAAAAAATTTTGCGACTGTACGAGGGCGGTGGGGTACTATTACAGTATCTACGGTAGTTAGTGTCTGATCCCGGCTGATCGTTTTCTAAAGCGTGTCCCTTGCCCTTGAGTACCGTAATCTTAGCTTAATTTTTATCAAATCTATCTATTTTTTTTAAATCTTTCGATATCCTTTTTGAAACCTCACAGAATTAGAATTAGACAAAAAAATAGATGGATTGGGTAAAAATAGAGTCAAGTTTACGGTCGTCGAGAGAAAGGGGACATTTTTTCGAAAACTGATTGTATGCGTATAGTGTAAGCTAGTTTAAATTGTAAAAAAGAAGGTGTAAAATGAATATAAACATTACATTGACGGATTCTATCAGAATGATTACGCTTTTTTTTTCTTCGTATTTTCGTCCGTCTCTCAAATCCAAATCCAAAATTAAAATTTACAAATTGACTTTTGTTGATTGACTTTTGTCTATTGGCATAAAATTTTGTCTATATTTCGGCTCACTCACTTCAACTCGGAGAATCTCCTCAAATATTTCGTTTCCTCGAAGCTCTGCCTCGCGATTTTATCCGTTTCACCATCGCCTCTCCTTAATCGATTTCTGAAAAGAGGTGGCAAAAAAATCAAACCAAAAAAAATGCAAACTGAAATACAAAGTATTCTACTTCTTTGCAAATCTATTTGTGATTGTTAAATGGGAATTTTTGCTATTTAAAAACTCAAAATTTTGCCAGTTAATGAGTTATTTTTCAAAAAAGGTGCGGGTGGGACAAATGCGACCTTTTTTTTGCGCACCTGGACATTTGCGCACCTTCTTTTTGCTGGAAAAGGCCTTAGGAAAGGTCGTAGAGCTTCAAAAATGTTTTCATAGAAGGGAATCGTATGCGTAGATTCCGAATTTCGACAAATCAGACCTCGCTGACACGTCAAATTTGGGCTAAAAGGCAAAAACTAAAAGGCAACTTAACGCTTTTCCGCAGTTTTTCCCTTTTAGCGCAAATTTGACGTGTCAGCGAGGTCTGATTTGTCGAAATTCGGAATCTACGTATACGATTCCCTTACATGGAAATATTTTCGAAATGTTTTCGAAGCTCTACGGGCTTGCCTAAGGCCTTTTCCAGCAAAAAAAAAAGGTGCGCAAATGTCCAGGTGCGCAAAAAAAAGGTCGCATTTGTCCCACCCCCAAAAAGTTAGACCCAAAAACAAACGGTAAAGTTAGAGTTTTTGAGGTGTAAAAAGGGGATTTTTCAATTTTCTTTAAAAAATCAAATTTTTCCTTGATTTTTTTGAACGACAAAGAAAATCCGATGCTAATTTCATACTCAGAGGTAAGTTTTTCTAAAAAACTAAACAACTGAGAATACTGATTTGGAATATGATTTATTTGGGAAAAGAAGAAATTTTGCTTCTCAAGGGAAAATCGAAAGATCGAATCGAAATTCTTTTACTTGGTTGTACTTTGTGCTCTCGCAAAAGCACGCCTTTTGGCACAAAAAATAGAAGATTCTTGTTGATTCTATGCGCATTAGTAACCCAGATATTGTGTTTTTAGGAGAGCACAGAGCACACGCTCCATTCTCGTACTTTTCTAGCGTAATCGCACGTGTTCTAGCATACTAAAGCCTCATTTTAGAAGCAAGATCTCTAGATAAGAAAAGGCTTCAGCACGCGAGGTCACTTGCAAAAAAAAGTACACACAATTTTCTGTCTCAAATCATTTCCAAACACTCAAAAAACATCTCAAATTTTGTTGACATGCAAAAATTTGAATTTTTCAATCCACACCAAACATCCAAATTCTTTTTTTTATATATAAAACGCCGAAGAAAATTGAAATCAAACTCTCGAAATCAAAAATTGAAAAAGAATACTTAAAACTTACTCATCCACCTGCCATTTTTGTCTAAAATTTTACAGGAAATGAGTTCTAAACTTTGAGTGAGTTTTTTGAATCAGGAAAGTCTTGCCCGGTTACTTTAAAGACTACTTTTTTAAAATAAATAATAAACCAATCGATCTATGATTTGTTTTATCACAAAGTTCTATTATTTATTTACAAATTACTCTTTAAGAAATTCTGAAAAGCTTGAGTTAATGAATTTTTTTAAAAGAAAAAATAGTGCCTAAAATTCTATCAGCCAGGAAGTTGGCCGCTTCTTTAAAGGCTACTTTTTAAAATAAATAATGAACCAATCGATCTATGATTTGTTTTATCACAAAGTTCTATACTTTCGGATAGAAGATAAAAGTATAGAACTTTCGGATAAAATAAATCGTAGATCGATTTGTTCATTATTTATTTTAAAAAGTAGCCTTTAAAAAAAGCGGCCTTAAAAAAAATAATAGATATTTATTTACAAATTACTCTTTAAGAAATTCTGAAAAGCTTGAGTTAGTTGATTTTTTTAAAGTGTAAAGTCGAGGAGTCAAAAGCGATGAAACTTTGATTTAGTTTTTGTTTTGTTTTGAGCACTTTTTCTCACAAAAATCTATTTTGATGGCAAAGATAAAAGGTAGAAAATAAAAAGTTAGGCAGATAGACAAATTTTCAGAAAAATTCGTCCCACCCTTTTCATTCTATGTTCATTGTAAAGATTTTCGAAAAAAAAACAAGAATTTCTGTTCGGATTAGCTTCAAAGCGGAGTCAAATTTGCCTATAAATGAGCTAAATGTTATAGGTAATCTTTTTTTATTTAAAGCAAACCACATTGATCGGCTAATTAGCTATCGGCTAATTCATTTATAAAGGAAAATTTTTAAAAAACGGACAAGACTTTCAAAAAGCAATAACTCACCGCCTCGCCGGTCTCATCTCGAAGATCAACCAAGCAATGATGACAACAACTGCGGCAACCAATGTCAGAACGGACAAAAGGAGAAGGATTAGTCGAAATCTAAAATGAAAAGATGATAATGAATCAGTTTTTTTAACAGGTTTCTTTAGTGCATTTTCTAGAAGCTGCTCACTTTTGACTACCTTATTATTAGCCATTTTAAAATCACAAAAGTTTTTGGATTAAAAGTCTTTAGGTACAAAAATCACAGCTTTTAAATATTGCTTTCACTCATAAATTCTTTGTCACCTAGAAAACTGTAAAAATGCTTAGTTTTTCAAATCTAAACGTTATTCCCAGTCCCCATCTAGCAGGAAAGCCTTAATCTTGTGTTATCGGACATTTATTACTCGCCACGCTCCTTTACCATTGGCTAACTTTGAGCCCAAATATCTTGGCGTTTGGTTGTTCAATTTATAAATTATTGGTATCATTAGATGCGGCAAGTCTTTCTCTGTCGATTGATACAAAAACTATTTCAATTGGACAACCCAACACCAAGATATTTGAGCTCAAAGTTGCATTGACAATGGGAAAAGGCGTGGGACGGGTATCAAATTTTCCACAATCTTAATCTTAATCGTATACCTCTATTTAGACCATTATTAGGCTTAGCTTTATAAAAAGTAGAATAAAGTATTGAAAGCCGTACCTGTAACTCTCACAACACGATTTCTCCTCACACTCTGTCCAATACCATGTGTCGCACACATTCGGCATCTAAAAATATTAAAAAATTCGATGTTTTTTGTATCAAGAAATCAAAAAATAAAACAAATACGGAAAGATTTTTCAAGAAAAACTTCGAAGAAAGGTTTTTAAGTTGAAAATAGAAGAGAAAGAAAGGAGAAGTGTTAATTGAATGAAGGAAATGAAGAAAGAAAGGGGTGAGCTGTTGCAGGGGAATCGACAAAAACAAGGGATCCAAAAAGACATTTGCAAAGAAAAGGATTCAGATTAGAGATTGATGAATCTAGGGAATAAGTGGAACCGAAATGGATGCTAAATTTTGATTTTTTATCCCAATTTAGACGAATTTGATTGAAAAGTAACAAAAAAAAGCTCATTTTTCATCATTTTTCAAACACCTTTTTCTAAGCGCTGGTAAAAGCTGAAAATATGTTTTATATCTTAAAAAATCATCCATCCTCTCTACTTTAATTTGATATAAAAACGTGCGGAAACAAAAGTACTGGTGGTAAGTTATGAGCGTTTGAAGGGTTGAAGGGTCGTTGCACTTGCACGAAAACGAAAATGTGCCGATTGATTTAAAATGGGAGCACTATTTTTTTTTCTTCAAAATCACTTTTTCTAGGGTAATTTTATGTATAGATTCCGAAAAACACAACGAGAGCTTGGGGAAATGCGCTTTAAGCCGAGTTTCGTGGCTCCAAAGTGCGCGCTTTTATAGTGTACTTCACTATACGGAGCCCAAGCGATTAGGGCACTTTTCAATGTCAAAACTAGAGCCAAAATCCTTTTTAACCACTAAATATTCATTTTCTAACTTAAATTGACTGGTAGAGGTAAACAAACAAATCATCCATCCTCTCTACTTTAATTTGATATAAAAACGTGCGGAAACAAAAGTACTGGTGGTAAGGTATGAGCGTTTGAAGGATAGAAGGATAGAAGGATAGAAGGATAGAAGGATAGAAGGATAGAAGGATAGAAGGGTAGAAGGGTAGAAGGGTAGAAGGGTAGAAGGATAGAAGGATAGAAGGGTAAAAGGGTTGAAGGGTCGTTGCACTTGCACGAAAACGAAAAACAAAATGTGCCGCATTGTTTATTTAAAATTGGCCATAAAACATGATTCTGATGATGAAATAATCGGTCGGTTTGTCAAAACACGCGCAAGATGAGAGTGGGACATTTGCGCACCTTTTTTTGCGCACTCGGCCCATTAGCGCACCTTTTTTTGTCTTTCAAATTGGTTCCACACGCTCATGTTATGTCAAAATTTGGATTCCACGCCCTCAAATTATCCAGAAAAACAATTTTTGGAATAGAAAGTGGTTAATACAGCTTTATTGCTGTATTAGCTTTTTAGAGCTTTTTTAAAATGCTAAAAAAGGTGCGCTAATGGGTCAGGTGCGGAAAAAAAGGTGCGCAAAAAAAAGGTAGCATTTGTCCCACTCCCCGCAAGATGCTTAAAAGTGTTCTAGAAATAACAAAAGTTACAAGTTGTTATGAGAAGTATGAAAACATTGGAGTTGAAAAATCTAATCGCACTCTTTTTGAATGGCGCTGCTTTGAATGGCGCTGCTTTGAATGGCGCTGCTTTGAATGGCGCTGCTTTGAATGGCGCTGCTTTGAATGGCGCTGCTTTGAATGGCGCTGCTTTGAATGGCGCTGCTTTGAATGGCGCTGCTTTGAATGGCGCTGCTTTGAATGGCGCTGCTTTGAATGGCGCTGCTTTGAATGGCGCTGCTTTGAATGGCGCTGCTTTGAATGGCGCTGCTTTGAATGGCGCTGCTTTGAATGGCGCTGCTTTGAATGGCGCTGCTTTGAATGGCGCTGCTTTGAATGGCGCTGCTTTCACTAGGTCCCAAATCCTAGACTTTGGTTTAAATCGATATCCAGAAAAGGTACTCAAGCTGCATTTTCGAGAAAAAGGAGAGCGTTAATTGAATAGATGAGACGGCTTTTTTTTTCATCCCCTTTTCCCCATACTTTACTTTGATTTTTTTGCTACCATTTTTGATATCGGATATGTTGAAAAGTCAGTAGGCAATGGGAAATGGAGAAATTGAAATGGTTTTAATGCTTGTAACAATTTTTTTTAAGGTTATCTTTCTATTTTTGTTCATTCAAAAGCTTTGCAAAATTTCCAAAAGAGGGATTTTCACCTGACTCTTTTTAAAAGAGGAAATTCCGAAAATAAAAGAAAAAAAAGCTCAAAGTCGAAAAAGTTTTAAATAAAGCTCAAATCAAGTTGTTATTTAGTCGAACACCAAGTGAAAAATTGGGGTAAACGACGAGTCGGTCATTTCTTTTCCCATTCCCATCCTCCCCCTTTTTTTTCCTCGTCAATCAGAGCTTTGAGGTCAAACATTTTTTTCGGACTTTTTGGCATCCAGGATTAGAGTTGTTTTTGAAGGGGAAAGGCTAGGGCTGAAGATAATTTTCTCGCACAGTGATTGAGACGCTGAATGGGACAAGCTTAGCATTCGACAATTAACAGACAAGTTTAGCATTCGACCCAGTTCAACCACGAAGAACTACTATGTATTTTAGTTTTTTACTCATTATCAATGCAAAGTTTAAAAGTAGAGATCACAGATAAGCTTATCATTCGACCCAGTTCAACAGCGATAGGCAAGTCTTTTTAAAGTAGAAAGGTTTAAGCGGTTTCTAGGACATGAAAGATATATCAGGGCAAGATATGTAAGACTAAAATCTGAGTCAGACAAAGCTAGCACTAGACATGGACACTACAAACTACAAACGCTTCTAACTTGCTTTAAATCTGCTGGATTGACACTATCTATAACTCAAAAAATAGAGAATCTCTTGAGCTTTTGAATGAACTAAAGCATACCAAAAAATATCAATGCTAAAGAAATTAACAGTGTTTTGTAGCCTGACTCGAAATGGACCGTACTCGCGCGTAGTCGAAGCGATCGAGTCAGGCTATAAACGACTGTAACTTTCTTTAGCATTGATATTTTTTGGTGTGCTTTAGTCCATTCAAAAGCTCTTGAGATTCTCTATTTTTTGAGTTATAGATAGTGTCAATCCGGGAGATTTAAAGCAATTTAGAAGCTTTTGTAGTGTGACAGTTCGTCATTTTTGTGGTTTATAGTGCTCATCTCTAGCTAGTGCTCATCTCTAGCTAGTGCTCATCTCTAGCTAGTGCTCATCTCTAGCTAGTGCTCATCTCTAGCTAGTGCTCATCTCTAGCTAGTGCTCATCTCTAGCTAGTGCTCATCTCTAGCTAGTGCTCATCTCTAGCTAGTGCTCATCTCTAGCTAGTGCTCATCTCTAGCTAGTGCTCATCTCTAGCTAGCACTCACACAAAGCCAGACAGGATTGGACTCAAGCCAGGCAAGACTAGATCATTCTTTTGATCCAGGTCAAGTAAATTAAAGATTTTTAAATAGAATATCGATAAAATATTGTTAAGAAAGAAATTGGATTTTTTTTTGTTGAGTGAAATATGAGAAAATCTTGTTGAAAATTATTGAAAAACTATCAAAAATATCCGAAAGATTACGGCAAGAAAACTATCAAAAAAAAAAGAAAGAAAATGATCAAAAAGCTGCTAATATGAGGAGGAAAATAAACTTGTGGAGGGACACTTGGTCGGACTTCTTTTGAGAAGGCTCCCTAAACAACAGCTGACCCTCAATTTCCCCATTGAGTCTCAGTGCAGTGGCCTTCTCTCCTTTCATCTCCTCACTCACTTTCCTACTTCACTTTCCTCCTCAAATCCCTTCTATGTCCACAGCTAAGTTCTTTTTCTTTTCACAATTCAAAGGGAATATTTTCCGCTTCACCACCCAATGACATATTGAGCTTTTTGAGGGATGACGATTTATGGCCGTTTAGAAAAAAGAAGAAGAAGTGCAAAGCTTTTTGAATCGTACTTCCGAAAATGGTGAATGGGTAAAAGGAAGATGTTGGGTTGAAGAAAAGTTTCTGGAAACTAGAGTTGGCTAGGAGCTAAGTCCCTAGCCTGGGCCCTAGCCTGGGCCCTAGCCTAGGCCCTAGCCTAGACCCTAGACTAGACCCTAGCCTAGACCCTAGCCTTAGCTCCTAGCCAGCTCCTAGCCTTAGCTCCTAGCCTTAGCTCCTAGCCTTAGCCTAGCCTTAGCTCCTAGCTAGCTCCTAGCCTTAGCTCCTAGCCTTAGCTCCTAGCCTTAGCTCCTAGCCTTAGCTCTAGCCAGCTCTAGCCTAGCCCTAGCCTAGCTCCTAGCCTAGCTCTAGCCTAGCTCCTAGCCAGCTCCTAGCCTTAGCTCCTAGCCTAGCTCCTAGCCTTAGCTCTAGCCTAGCTCCTAGCCTTAGCTCCTAGCCTTAGCTCCTAGCCTTAGCTCCAGCCTTAGCTCCTAGCCTTAGCTCTAGCCTTAGCTCCTAGCCTTAGCTCCTAGCCTTAGCTCCTAGCCTTAGCTCCTAGCCTTAGCTCCTAGCCTTAGCTCCTAGCCTTAGCTCCTAGCCTTAGCTCCTAGCCTTAGCTCCTAGCCTTAGCTCCTAGCCTTAGCTCCTAGCCAACACTAGGATCTAAGGCTAGGGGATAGTCTAATCTAGAGTTGTAGACTCGCGCGTAGTCGAAGCTATCGAGTCAGGCTACAAACGACTGTAACTTCTCCCGGAATCTTGTAGAAGAGTGCCCAAATGTCTTTTCAAAATTTGGACATTTCAAGTAATCTTAAACGCACGTTTTCTAGGGCACAGATGAGAATTGAAAGCTGGTTTTTCTTAAGTAAATTATTGAAATGACTAAATGCCTAAATGCCTAAAAATGACTAAGTGCCAAGGGTATGCCAGAGAGGGTACGTTTATGAGAGCCGAGAACCCAAAAAAAAATTCAATGCTTCAGTCTTTTTTAGTCGTTTTATACATGATTTACTAGCTGAAGGAATTGAAGTGAGTATGCCAGAAGGTTTGTGTTTACTATACCAAAAAGTATATATAATTTTATAGACTCTAGAGAAGGCTAAAGGTTATGCGTTTTCAAAAGCACAAAGCACACGCTGAGTCGAGTTAATGTCATGGAAAAATGAGGAAAGAACGAGGTGTCAACTGTTCACAAATGTCAGTGAAGTCAGTAAAGATAAGTCTAGGAAGTTGAAAAGAAAAGAAAATCTGGAAAAAGATTATAGAAAGGTTTATAGGAGAGTTTATAGAAAAATTTATAGAAAAGTTTATAGAAAAGATCTAAAATAATGAAAAAAATGTCTGTATTTAATCATTTTTTTTTTCAATGGAAAAGAAGAAAATTATTGAACTTAATGAATTGTTAAAGATTATTGAACTTAATCAATTGTTAAAGTTTATTGAACTTTAACAATTGTTTGTTCAATTGTTAAAGACTATTGAACTTAATGAATTGTTAAAGATTATTGAACTTAATCGATTGTTAAAGATTAACTTAATCAATTGTTAAAGACTATTGAACTTTAACAATTGTCTGTTCAATTGTTAAAGACTATTGAACTTAATGAATTGTTAAAGACTATTGAACTTTAACAATTGTCTGTTCAATTGTTAAAGACTATTGAACTTAATGAATTGTTAAAGATTATTGAACTTTAACAATTGTTTGTTCAATTGTTTCTTTAACAATTGTTAAAGAAAATTTTTACAGCTGTAAAATTTCGTTTCGATTTAAAAAGAGAAATCGCTTTTTGTGGGGAGGGAAAATTCTTTGAGAAACCCGATGTTTTCCTTTGAGATCGAGGGATTTTCGAGTGATTGATTGAGGCCAAAAGTACATCGATTTTACGGGTCCTAGTGAGATTTAGAGCTGAGATTAGTCTATGTTCATTTAGTTTAAAGTTAGGTCACTTTCTGTTAGTGGAAATTCTGATTTGCCGCATTGGTCACTAGGAGATCGATCAAAGATCTTTTCTGTTCGTTTAAACCAAAGAAAAGAATCGAATTCTTCCCAAATAAGACACAAATTTCTGCTGGCTTTAAAAATAAGCTGTTTCTCAGCTTCTCGCTTTCTCAGCTTCTCACTTTCTCAGCTTCTCGCTTTCTCAGCTTCTCGCTTTCTCAGCTTCTCGCTTTTTCAGCTTCTCGCTTTCTCAGCTTCTCACTTTCTCAGCTTCTCGCTTTCTCAGCTTCTTGCTTTCTCAGCTTCTCGCTTTTTCAGCTTCTCGCTTTCTTAGCTTCTCGCTTTTTCAGCTTTAAAGCTAGGGAAAAAAAAATAAACAATGTGAAATTAGTGGAGATGAAAAGGGGAATGGAAAGGATGAAAAAGGGAATGGAAAGGATGAAAAAAGGGGGATTTGTGTCAATTGTGAAAAGGGGAATGGATGGATGAATTGTTCAGAAAAAAAGAAAAGAATGAAGATCTCATTTGGGTGAACGAAAAGGAAAAAAAAAGGAAATGGAGAGAATTGTGAAGAGAATGGATATCAACTGGATGAGAAGAATATGATGGGAATGGATGTGATGAGAGAGGTGACATCTTCGATCAAACAAAAGCTCAATTTGAAGCTATATTGATTGAAGCACGTAGCAATTGGGCAATAATGAAATCATTTTTAAAAATTTTTAGAAGCTTTTTCACTTCGATTAATTTTATCCGAAGAGTACAAGTAGAAGATTTGCTCATTCATCAATCTACAACTTAGCATAGACAACACAGAACATAGACAAGACGTAAATCCAGAACTTAACCTAGACAACATAGACATAGACAAGACGTAATCTACAGCTTAACCTAGACAACATAGACAAGACGTAACTCTACAGCTTAACATAGACAACATAGACATAGACAAGACGTAAATCTACAGCTTAACCTAGACAACATAGACAAGACGTAACTCTACAGCTTAACATAGACAACATAGACATAGACATGACGTAAATCTACAACTTAGCATAGACAAGACGTAAATCCAGAACTTAACCTAGACAACATAGACAAGACGTAACTCTACAGCTTAACCTAGACAACATAGACATAGACATGACGTAAATCTACAGCTTAACCTAGACAACATAGACAAGACGTAACTCTACAGCTTAACCTAGACAACATAGACAAGACGTAACTCTACAACTTAACCTAGACAACATAGACATAGACAAGACGTAATCTACAGCTTAACCTAGACAACATAGACATAGTCAAGACGAAAAATAGCAATTCTCGAGCAGAAACTTTTTCAACTGAAATTCATTGGTTTGTAGACTTTGGGGAGCCAGTTTATATCAAAGCCCAAGCCAGATAACTGGCTTTCCTTTCACCCTCTCCTTCAGAATAACCCTAGTTCTGAAAAGAGGTATAAAAAAGCCTGGAAACAGCTTCAAAAAGCAAGCGAAATTTTGCTAACAAATACAGGCGTATAGTATGTTCACGATCAATTTATTTGCGTTCATTACGCTAGATCTTGGCTTAAATTCAGCCTATTCAGTCAGAATTGTAGAACAAAGTATTAGATTGAGTGTTGGTAGCTATGTGTTGTGTTGGTAGCTATGTGTTGGTACGCTGAGTGTTGGTAGCTATGTGTTGGTACGCACAATTGTAGCTATTTGTTGGTATACTATCTTCATTGATCGTTTTAGGAACGGTGAATCGACCAAAACACAAACGGTTTCTTTGAATTGAAAAAGCAAAGCCACTCGCTGTTCAATACGACTTTTGAGCAAAAAGCTCATAAACAGATAGAATAGTTGAAGAAGAATTGTTTAAATACTGAATTGTGGGGGAAAGATTTGAAATCTAGTCTAAAATTAAGTGAATCTGGGTTGGGGAAAGGGTGGGTTGGAGGGTGGGGTGGAGGGTGACCCTCAGCTCCTCAGCTCCTCAGCCTCTCAGCTAGTCGCCTCCTTTTTGGACTCCTCCAGAGGGCCACCCAAGCCTTTTTTTTCTCACAGAAGAGCTCTATAGGGAAATAAGGGAAAATGGATGGATGAACGGGTAGAAAAAGAAGGGAAAACGGGAGAGAAGAGGGGAAGAAAATCGAGCCCAAAAAAAAAGAGAGGAAAGGAAAAGGAGATGGGGAGCAATGGGTGGGTATTGACTCCCTTTTTGGGGATCTTTAAGGAAGAAGCTTTTCCTTGAAAACAAACACACCCATTCCAGTAGGTTTCAAAGAAATTGATAGGTTTTTTTAATATTATACAATAGTTTTCCGTTAAAGACAAGCTGCTCATTGGCATGGTAACCTAATTTGGATTTTAATCATTACTGCTTGGATTTAATAGTTAAATTTTTATATGAAAACTAGTTTCAAATAAACTTATATTTAAAACAAAGAACAATTAACTTTGCAAATTCAAAAAAACAAAAGTCGAAAGTCGCAAGGTGGACTCGAACCAGGGACCCTCTGCCCTGAATTCTAAACCACTTCCACTCGGCCACCCCTGCTTTCTGAAAAGTCTGGGAAATTTGATTATAAAGGATTTCAATTGTGGATTGCAATCTAAGATTGCACAACACTTTGAATGCTTATAACTTTAGACAAAATGCTCCATATCAAAAACGGAAAGCAGATTCGGAATCAGCGCAAAATTCTACGTCGTTGCTTCATGTCATTTGGCCACCACACTCCAGTTGACACTCTTTTATGTGTATGTTAAAAGTGATCTTTTAAAGTATTCTCGGCAACAAGCTTTGTCTCCGATCTCTTCAATGTTTGGTTGAAGTGAGAGTGTCGGGAATTCTGTAAAAGTCTTCCCCTTTTTTTCCCTTTTTCTGCCTCTTTTCATATTCATGAAGCCGTTTGGCACCTCCTTTTTCTCCATCTCAAAAATATTCTCTCAAAAAAAAAAGTAGTTTTTACCCCATTCGTCGTTCCCTTTCTAGCCAAAAGTCGGAAAGTTTTTTGAGGTTTTTTTGCAAAACTAAAAGACAAGCCATATTTAGAAGAAATTTTTTCTGATTCTTTCATTCTAAGGCTATCAGAATTCTGTGTTTTCTAAAAGGTAAAATCTGGTGGAAATTATGGAAAACTAGTGAACATATATTGGAAAGAGGCAGACTAAAACCGGAATCTTTTCTTTAGATTGACTATTCTTTTATCACGATCTCAATAGAAAAGAGTACAATAGTTTTTCGAAATGACTCATCTTTTCGAAAACGTAGCCAAGATTGTTGATAGTTAAGAGCCAAGATTGAACCAATAGCCAAGAGCCAAGATTGAGCCAAGAGCCAAGAGCCAAGATTGTTGATAGCTAAGAGCCAAGATTGTTGATAGCCAAGAGCCAAGATTGTTAATAGCCAAGAGCCAAGATTGTTGATAGCCAAGAGCCAAGATTGAGCTAATAGCCAAGAGCCAAGATTGTTGATAGCCAAGATTGTTGATAGCCAAGATTGTTGATAGCCAAGAGCTAAGATTGAGCCAATAGCCAAGTTTTTTCAATTGTTGATAACCAAGATTGATAGCTAAGATTTCGTATTCACTCTTCTTTCGAAACGATTTATTTTCTTTTTTGTTGACAAATTTAAACCACGCAAAATTCACTTTAAAAACATTAAGCTAAACAAAGAAAAAAATGAGATGAGAATCATTGGAAAAGCTTTTGAATGAGCCGAATTGCAGAGATTTCCCTTGCAACAATTCACCTCACCGATACCGTAATTGAATCGACCTTTGCTCTGAAAAAAAAAGAATTTCCGACAAGATTCCAACAAGATTCCGACAGAATTCTAGGGTTAATTCCGATCATAAAGCTTAAAGCTTAAACTTAAAGACTTTAAAAGGTGGTTATTACGGAATGCTTCAAGACTTGAAAAGATGGTTATTACGGAATGCTTCAAGACTTTTAAATATAGTTATTACGGAATGCTTCAAGACTTTAAAAGATGGTTATTACGGAATGCTTCAAGACTTGAAAAGATGGTTATTACGGAATGCTTCAAGACTTTTAAATATAGTTATTACGGAATGCTTCAAGACTTTAAAAGGACTATTACGGAATGCTTCAAGACTATTACGCAATGCTTTATTTTTTATTTTAGCTTATTTTTAGCTTTATTTTAGCTTTATTTTAGCATACTGTAGGGTGAAATATGAAAAGCTTTACAGAGTAACACAGAATGACTATCCTTTTAAAATATATTGCATTGATGTAACTTTTAAAGCTCTTTGAGAGGGTTTCTCACCGTGCACGCATTTGCAATGGCGGGTCCATTCTCTTCACCACATCCACAACCCCATGTGGCCGATTCAACACTGCCAATCTGAAAAAATTCAAATATCTATTTATGAAGAGGAGATTCCCGGAGAGGGGATTGAGCCCTTGACCTTCTGCTTTCCGAGCAATTGCTATCGGGTAGCTATCGAGTAGCTATCGAGTAGCTATCGGGTAGCTATCGGGTAGCTATCGGGTAGCTATCGAGTAGCTATCGGGTAGCTATCGGGTAGCTATCGAGTAGCTATCGGGTAGCTATCGGGTAGCTATCGGGTAGACTACAGTAGCTATCGGGTAGACTTTTTCTAGAGACTTTTTTCTTTTTCTAGAACGTATCCTTTATAATCTTTTCTCAATCTTTTTCCAATCAATCTACTTTTCAAATTCTCTGAGGGTTTAGAAAGATTAAAAAGTAGATAGATTGAGTAAAAAAATCGAGATAAGATTACGGTAAACTGGAAAAAAAAAAGCATTGAATAGAGATACAAAGTGTGTATTGAAGCTTTTTATATAAGCCTTTTAGCTAAGCCTTTTATATAAGCCTTTTAGCTAAAACTGACCATGCTCACCGTCTTCATACAGTAATCGCATCCCGATGCGCAGTTTTGCTTAGATTTCTAAAGAAGTAAAATTATTAAACTTAAAGAACTTTTTTGCTCACCCCATCAGTGTGTTTATGTCCATTCACATTCACATCTTCCCAGCATTTCAACGTGACCGTCAAACCGAATAAAGTGATGAAGATGAGCGATTTTGTGAAGAGCATTCTGAGCAGGTTTTATATATATATATATGTTGTGTCCGATTTAGATTTCCGTCCGATTTAGATTGAATCTAAATCGGACGTCCGATTTAGATTGAACTTATCGCGGACGTCCGATTTAGATTACAGTCTATATCGGACGTCCGATACAGATCGAACAATAATAAACGTGCTTAATATATGTTCTTAAGCGTTTTTTTGCAATTTTCTGCGCTTTTCAAAGAAATTTTCAAAGAACATATGTTAAGCACGTTTATTATTGTTCGATCTGTAGACTGTAATCAATAAAAGACCTTTGAAAAATGCAGAAAACTACAGAAAACGCTTAAGAACATATATTAAGCATGTTTATATTATTGTTCAATCTATATAAGACGTATTATTATTTAATCTATATAAGATTTAGATTGAATCTAAATCGGACGTCCGATATAGACTGTAATCTCAATCGGACGTCCGCGATAAGTTCAATCTAAATCGGACGTCTGTTTTAGATTGAGTCTAAATCGGATGAAAATCTAAATCGGACATAATATAACATATATATTTATATACTTTATTCAGGATCTGAGATAAAGTGCGCTAGATTTACGAATAAAACACATCAATTCATACACATAACACGAAAAGGGCCGATAAAAAGAAATACGAGATAATTTTAGAAAGTTTTTTCTTTTAATCTAATATTAGAAAAGTTCAAAGTTATAAGGCAAAAGTATTCAAAAATTTCTTGAAAAGAAAAACATTTGAATGGCGTTTTGGTGGAAAATTTTCAAATTTCAAATCTGAACCTGGAGAACGTTTTCTTTTCGTGTGATGACCAAACATTTTTCTCGTTTCCTATCTAAATCTGTCCTCAATCTGTTTATTCAATCGAATCATTCTCAACTTTTGGCAATGAGTAACTGTTTGTCGAAAGGATTTGAGCCGATTTTAGCCGCTTTCTTCCAGCATGCAATACTTTTCGGGAATTTGAATGGGTTGAAGATCGATTGAAGATTGATTGAAGATTGATTGAAGATTGATTGAAGATTGATTGAAGATTAATTGAAAATTCAGAACTAATAAAGTACAAAGGCTTTCAAAGGTTACAAGCTTGATCTGTAGACAGATACAAGCTGAAGGTACTTGATGGGGTTACAAGCTGGATCCGGTTTCTTTCATGGCTTTACTTTAGCCAGTAAAGTCAGTAAAGTCCACCTGATCTAGGTCCAGCCTTTGCCTTTCCCCTAATCTGACTATGTTTTTGACTAAAAAGTTAGGATTAGAGTTAGAGTTCGAGTTTAAGTTTGTAAGTTAGTTTAAGTTTAAGTTGTAAGTTGTAAGTTAGAGTTTTTCTGATAGATTTCTTTACGAAAATGGTGCTCACAAGGGAATGACAATCGAAGTTGAGAATCGCTTCGTGACCGAGTGCATCTCATAGAGTCAGCTATGCTGTTTCTGAATCTGTAAAAATTAGCTCCAAACACCCACGCAATCGCAAGGAATCTGGTATAAAAATTCCCTGAAATTTCGGACTCTTCATGGTACTTCATGGACTCTTCACAAAGCAGCTTTCAGCGGCTTCGGTGGTCTAGCGGATAGTGTGCTAACCCAAAGTCCTTTTGCTTGGGTTCGAGTCCTCGCCTGGTCGATTCTCTTTGCTTTTTTGGAAAATACTTTATCTTTGAATTTCTGATGTCTTTGTATTAAATATATACCGTAAATACTGTAATAGTACCCCACCCTCTCCTCGTACAGTCGCGTAGTCGCAAAAGTTTTTTAGTATTTCATTTTTTTCAAAGCGCCCGTACTTTCAAAAAATGCATATTTGGTATCAAAAAATAGCCCTGAATTTCAGCTATTTTTTGATACCTAAGCGCGCACTGTAGCATAAACCAGTGTCGAGAAAAACTCGTTCAAAGCTAGACTACGCAACACTCCGCACCGTCATTATGGGGGTGGGGTACTATTACAGTATTTACGGTATGTTCTATGAGATGCACTCGATCACAAACTTCGAATTGGTGTCTCAACTTCGAATTGGTGTCATTCCTTTGTCAGCAATTAATCTGGCGGCAAAAATTGGATTTGTGCTTTGATGATGTTGTTGAACTAGCGGCTTTGATCTGCTTTTGATCTGTTTTGATTTGATTTGGTTTTACTCTGCTTTTGATCTGGTTCTGATCTGATTTGGTTTTGATCTGGTTCTGATCTGATCTGCTTTTGATCTGATTTGGTTTTGATCTGGTTCTGATCTGATCTGCTTTTGATCTGATTTGATCTGATCTGGTTCTGATCTGATCTGCTTTTGATCTGATTTGATCTGATCTGGTTCTGATCTGATCTGCTTTTGATCTGATTTGATCTGATCTGGTTCTGATCTGCTCATACTAACAATAAAGCCATATCCTTCAACCGGATCTAATTTTGTGTAATTTTCAATTTAATCTGACTATGAGAAGGAGTTGATTTAAAAGATGTACCAGCATTTACCGAAGCTAGTTTTAAATGGATTGTCCTTTAAAGTTGTCCAGCAGTTGTCCTTGTGGATTGTCCAGCAGTTGTCCTTGTAGATTGTCCAGCAGTTGTCCTTTGAAAAAAAAAAGTGTACAATGAACGTAATGTTTGTGATTTCGAATGTAAATACTGTTTTGGCTACTGTTTAAAAACAAAATCCATTTCTTTTCCTGTGTCAACCTTGAGTTTTCATCTTTTTTTCCCTCAAAAATCTCTCTCTTTTCGGCTCTGAAAAGGCTCCACAAAAAATTTGGATAGGAAATCTTTTCCTTTTTTTCAAAAACTTGCACGATGGAAAAATTAGTTTTATTCGGTCATTTAATTTTCTGTTTTACTTTTGTGCATTTGTTTTTCGTGTTCGGATCACATGGTTGGTTTATTTTGAAACAAAAAAAATTGTTTAACAAGCAACATAACATAAGCAACTTAAGCATCAACTTTAGCATCAACTTAAGCATCAACTTAAGCAGCAACTTAAGCAGCAACTTTAGCTTAAGCAAATCCCATAATTCTTAAAGTTTGGAAAGGAAAACTTTCAAAAGTTCTTTTTTAACACGTTGACGACATTGTCACCTGATGTTGTCTGACACATATTCGTTCGCCTGGGACATTGTCACCTGATGTCAGGTGACATTTTTTGTCGAAAAAAAACAACGTTGTCCCATGCGATTGTTTGTGCAAAAACGCCATTGTCGTCAACGTGTTAAAAGATTTTTTTAAAGTTCTTTTTAAATGATCTTTTTTTAAATGATCTTTTTTAAATGATCTTTTTTAAATGATCCTTTTCAAAAGATCTTTTTCAAAGATCTTTTTTAAAAGATCTTTTTCAAAAGTTCTTTTCAAATGTCTTTTCAAAAGATTCAATAATTGGATATAATCTTTTTACGGTATTCGCGTGGGTGACGTGATCGGTTTGGGATATATCGGAAACGAGGATTCACGCGCCATTCCGGCTGGTGTCGATCCCGATGTTTATGCGAGAGTGGGTGGGCGGGAAATCGATAAAACCAAATAACCAAATCGTATAACAAAAAAAAAACCCAAAAAGATTACTTGTTATTCGAATACAGAACTCTAATCTAGAAAGAAAAATGGATAAATCTTTTGCAATAGATTCAAAATGGATAGGTTTTTTTGTTGCGAAAGTTTACAACACAATTACACTGCATAAGAACAAAAGCTCTTTTATTATAAAAGCTCAAAAAAGATTTCAAAAAAACGATTCTTTATCTTAAATTGAATATAAAATCTCTGAAATCACTGAAATCACTGAAAACGATTTGATTTTTATAAAAATTCTATAAAAACTTTTGAGATTTTCCATCGCCGTGTGATCACTGACGAGAACGGAGTGAGCTTTGATGTGACACGAGATCTCAGTCAAGTTTGAAACGAAAAGAGATTTCTGAGGAAGATTTTTAGATTTTATGGAACCGTTGGCAAAGCTATTGGAAAGGAAAATGATTCAGAAATATTAGAAATAAATATTTTTATCGAATAAAAAACCCTGGTTTAGTTTTTTTAGTTCAAAAGAGACAGTCAACGATGTACTCAAGCTAAACACATCCAATTTCCGTCTACTCATTCGTTTTCAATTCAAGAATTACCTTTTATAAGTTTAACTGCACCAGAAGGCTTATGTTTACACTTTTGAGCAAAGTTTTGAACAAAGTTTTGAGCAAAGTACATTTAAAAGTCGAAGGTTTTTTACTTGATTCTGGTTTTTTGTTCATCAGAAGAATGTTTCCTAAAAAAATTGAAGTGAGAGTTGGACATCATACCCATAAGCCTTATACCCATGAGCTTTATACCTATGAGCCTTATACCCATAAGCCTTATACCCATAAGCCTTATACCCATAAGCCTGATACCCATAAGCCTTATACCCATGATCCCTATACCCATGATCCCTATACCCATAAGCCTTATACCCATAAGCTTTATACCCATAAGCCTTATACCCATAAGCCTTATACCCATAAGCCTTATACCCATAAGCCTTATACCCATAAGCCTTATACCCATAAGCCTTATACCCATGAGCCTTATACCCATAAGCCCTATACCCATGATCCCTATACCCATGATCCCTATACCCATGATCCCTATCCCCATGAGCCAGAGGGTACGCACAAAGTCATACCCATGACCGAAATGTTGAAAATTTTTTTGTGAAACTCATTGGGAAACAAATTGGATGAGGTGAATTGCAAAAAGATATTTGAGAGAGAAAACGAGTGATCAAATCGTGGATCGGAGCTGTCATTGGAATGGTCATCCCACCACGAGCACTCATCCATCCCCTTCCCTTCCCTTCCCTTTTCCCTTTCTCTTTTCACAATCTTCTGAATTATCTAAAGATTCTCTTGATTATAATAGTAAAAGATCGTTTTGTTTGTCTCTTTTCTCTTCATTTCTCTATTCATTTCTTTTGTTTCAAAATTCTAACTATCATTTAAATTAAAAAAAACATTCTAAGGCTATCATTTGACATCTAAACGCACACTGTAGCAGCACTGAAAGTTCAAAGTTAGACTACGTGACTGTACGCTCGTCATTATCGCGTTCTATTAGAGTATTTACGGTGTATTGCATTTTCAAGCTTGATCTGCATAATTGCAAATAGCTTTATCTATTGGGTTGGTAGAAAAGTCCTTTCGGATTTTTTGGGAGAGTACCTTAAATTTGTCCAATTTTGACGTCTTATAGCTCATCCTAAAGCTGAATTCAAGACGGATCAATTGGAACGAAAATAACTTGATCAGAATTCTAGATCTATGAAAATGATTCGGATTGAATCTATGATGCAGCTTCTTTAATAATCATTCTATTTATTCTATTTATTTTTCTTTGACGATCTGATCCCTTTTCTTCCGATCACCGTTCGATTGTCGATTTCCTTATTTTTTCTTTCTTTCAAGACACTCGTTAGCATTGTTATTTTCTGCTTGTTTGAGGATCACTTTCAACAAATGTTTTTAAGGGTGAGGAAGGGGAATGGATGAATTGCTGGGAAATCCACAAACATTGGATATGAGAGGGGACACTTGGAAGGGAGAAGTAGAGAATGCGCTTCCTGGAGGCTTCAGTCTGTCTTTGTATTAAAAGTGTAGTGTTTAAGATTTGATAGGCCTTAGAAAACAATTGCTCTTGAGTTTCCTTAGTTAGTTGCAAAGGCGTTAACTACAAAAATGGAAAACAGCCTCGAAGCTACAGCTGGCAATGTCAGGAGAAAGGCAGATGCTGGTCTTGGTGTGGCTGCAAGTCCGACAAACCCCTGAATTCAGCAGAAACCAAGTCTAGACTTTTTCTAGAGTTATTGACCGTTTATGGGTGTTCCAAGGGTTCTAAAAACCTTTTGCTTGTAGTTCGAGAGCTAAAATTTCCGACTCAATGCAAGGGAACTGGTACAATAGTTATACTAGACTAAAGTACAGGTTTGGAAATGGTAAAGAGATGCTAGCTTCTTGTTGAAGAGCTTCTTGCTGAAGATCTTCCTGCTAAAGTTCTTCTAGCTGATCTGAAGCCTGTCCCTTCTCCAATCCATCCCAATCCTCAATATTCTTCTCACTGTTCTTCTGTTCTTGGACTTACCCCCTCAAGAGTCGAAGAGAAATCCCCGCAAATATTGTCTTTTCTTTTCTTTGTCTGTGAAAATGGACATTGTTTGAAAAGATTTTTGAGTGATCTTTTTTGTCCATTTTTTTTTGTTGCAATGGACTGGAACCATCAACTTTGAAAGAACAATGGCATGTCTGACCAAGAGCAATCATCTCTTTGTTGATTGCACGTCGAGTGTTCTACTGATGGCACAACAGATTCAATCTTTTCCTCATCTCGGTAATCTTTGTCAAGCTTTTTCATCTATTCCACTAATTCTTTGTAGCTTTCGATTTTCTAGAAGTTTACATTTATTTGATCTAAAAATTCTCTAGATTCGGCAAAAGTTATGAGCTAAGGTTCTGATCTGATTTGATAGCATAGATCATTAGATCTTTAGATCATTAGATGTTTAGATGTTTAGATCATTAGGTCATTAGATCATTAGATGTTTAGATGTTTAGTTCATTAGATCATTAGATCATTAGATCATTAGCTCATTAGATCTTTAGATCATTAGCTCATTAGATCTTTAGATCATTAGATCATTTGATGTTTAGATCATTAGATCATTAGATCATCATTAGATTTTTCAAAAACTTTTTGTGTATAAGGTTGATGGCTTGATGATTTCTGGCTTGACCAGGCTTGATTTCTGACGGAGCTCTGGTTTTGCCTTGTTCAACTTACCCTGGTTCCCTTATATGTTCCTGTTTCCTCCTGGGTCAGTTGATTTCCTTTAAAAGCAAAGATTTCTTAAAAAAGAAAGGATCGTTTAAAGGCTTGGCATAAAAAAAATGAAGACTAGAAGAAGAATTTTATGATAAACCGACCAAGGGAAAAGAAAAGAAGGGATGGAAAGAGGGAAAACTGGGAGGAGAACAGAGACAAGGCTAGGGGTGTTGTTCTTTTCCATCGCCTTTCCCAGTTGGGCACTCCAGGATCCCTGGACTCTTTCCAGTCTTTTTTAACTTTCAGAAGATACCAAAAGCTATCATTTTTTTTTTCTTTACTTGATCATTCTGATATCTGATGTCAACGAGTTTTCCACGAGTCCTATGAGTGAATGAGTAGTGAATGAGTACTTTAGAATGAGTACTTGACTCATTCTAAAGTGTGCCCGATTACCGTAAAGGCTTGGCTGAAGATTACGGTAAACGGGCACAGTTTAAAGCAATCTATAAGCTTTGAAATTTTGCATTCTTCATCGCTTTATGTCTTTTTGTTTGCTGTAATTGCTGCTGTTTTAAATTGCTGCTTTAATTTCATTTTAAAAGTTGAAATCTTTGATCATTGTTCTTTTCGAACAAATTTCTAACGCAAAAATTTGAATTTAGAAAGAAATTCTTCGAGCAAACTAAACTTTTGCTATAAATTTTGATTATTTTCGCTTTTCACTCGACTTTTCTGCAAAATCTTGTCGAAATGCGGGATCGAAAACGATTTTTCCTCGTTCTTCTCGCCATTTTCTCGTCGATTGCGGTTGAGGTGGGGGTTTTTTTTTTTTTGTAAAATTCTTTATCTAACAGCGATAATTTGTGAGATTGTTTGTCTCACATTACTCAAATTGTATTGCAATTCGGACAAGAATACTGTTTAATGTAGCTTATGATTGCCAAATTTTAATCCAAATTTTAGTCTTTTACAGAACGTCGTAACGCTAAAAGTAAGGCAAATAAGTAAGGTAAAAAGCTTTAAATTGCTGTGCGAGCACGTGTGGCTGACTGGTTAAGTGTCTTTTATCTTAATTCTTAATCGGAAGGTCGAGGGTTCGAACCCCACATGCGACATGGTCACCCCCTTCGGATTTCCTTTCCCTTCGGGTTGAGAGGTTTTCTGGAGGGCAGTCTGGTGGTTGTGGCCCCAGTTCTTTAAAGTGACAAGCCACTCCTTCATCGTCATCTTCCCTTCACCACCAAAAAAGCTATTTAGTTCCCCATTGAGCTTAGGGTTAGGGAGCCGTCTGTCATGACGTGGGTTAAGTTAAGATATAGCCTAGTATTGTGTGTGTCGTTGTATTGTGATTGATATATTTCGTGTATGCGATAAATTCACCACTGGTAGCCCCAGTCGGTATTTTTTTTTAAAAAAATTCGGACAAGAATACTGTTTAATGTAGCTTATGATATACCAAATTTTAATCCAAATTTTACTCTTTTACAGAACGTCGTAACGCTAAAAGTAAGGCAAATAGGTAAAAAGCTTTAAATTGCTCACAAATTTTGTAAACTTTTCAAAAGGAAATCATCTCTTTTGCCTTTCCCCTAAATCCTTCATGTAATCATCTCGTCATTTGATTTCTTTTCCCTTCTTTTTCCCTTCCAAATGACCAATCGTTTCCGCGTATGTTTGCCCAATAAATAGACGGATTCGGGACTTGTTTCTTAAAAAAATAACTTGAGATGTTGATTCTAGAAATTAGATAGTTGATTTGAACAAAAATCAAGCCAATGATTGATCATGAAAAGTGAGGTTTAGGAGAAAGTTGTTAGGAGAAAGTTGTTAGGAGAAAGTTGTTAGGAGAAAGTTGTTAGGAGAAAGTTGTTAGGAGAAAGTTGTTAGGAGAAAGTTGTTAGGAGAAAGTTGTTAGGAGAAAGTTGTTAGGAGAAAGTTGTTAGGAGAAAGTTGTTAGGAGAAAGTTGTTAGGAGAAAGTTGTTAACACATTCACGAGTGGCGATTGTTAGTTATTGTCGACGATCGCAAACTGTTGATGATGATGATTGTCGCGAATCGTGAAAGAAATCGGTGACTGTGCAAAGGAAAGGGTTTTGCCAATAGCTGAATCAAAAACGCTAAATATTATAGCTATTGTTAGTTATTGTTAGTTATTGTTAGTTATTGTTAGTTATTGTTAGTTATTGCTTTAACAATAGCGCCAATTCTTTAGTTTCTCTAGTTGCAATAGGCTATTCGGACAAGAATAGTTTCCCTATTGCAATAGGTTATTCGGAAAAGAATACTGTATAATGTAGCTTATGATTGCCAAATTTTAATCCAAATTTTAGTCTTTTACAGAACATCGTAAAGCTAAGAGTAAGGCAAATAGTAAAAAGCTTTAACTTTCCCTCAAATCTTGTAAACTTTTCAAAAGGAAATCATCTCTTGTAACATCAACAGATTACTGAAAGACAAGAGCTGTAGTTGGTGATGAAATGTACTACTCTTACTCTTAGCTTTACGATGTGTAGTGTGTTCCTCGCGAGTAATGCGTTTTTTAAAATGCACACTTTCGGACAAAATTATCGTACTTTTAGCAAAAATTATTGCAAAAAAAATGACCAGCCCCGCATTATACCGTATTTCTTCGAATAGAAGACCGGGTAAAGAGTATGATCGCGTACTCCTGCGTAGCAGCCCTTTTTAAAATTTCTTTTCTGCATAAAAGCTTTCAATGAAGGGCTATAGAGCTGGAAAATGGCTCAAAAATGCCACATGAGCTAACAGATTTTTGAACCATTTTCCAGCTCTATAGCCCTTCAGCTCGAAAGCTTTTATGCAGAAAAGAAATTTTAAAAAGGGCTGCTACGCAGGAGTACGCGATCATACTCTTTACCCGGTCTTCTATTCGAAGAAATACGGTATACGACACTTTTTAAAGATACTCAGCCGTTTGACTGATTTGGTGGGAAATCCTTTTCAATGTAAAAAAATGATTTTTTTTTTTTGAAGAACCTGCGCAAAAAATTGCTTTTATATTATTTTCGCGCAGGCGCGCTTTTTAGAAAACGCATTAGACCTACAATTACTCGAGCTATTTATTCGAGTAAAAAAAACTACTCATCCAAATTTACTCGAGTAATTACTTACTCGCGAGGAATACACTCTATTTCATTGAAAATGATAAAAGAAGTCTTTTAAACTGTAGGTTTTTTTAAGATGTTTTTACTTAGCTTTGTTTTTAACAATCAATTTTTCAAATGAAATTTCAAATGAATATTATTATTGCTATGACACATTTCCCCTTTCAAACTCCAAACTCAAACTTTTCCTTTCATAAATTGATAGACTAATTTACTCAAATCTAAGCTATCATTTAAGATATGATATTGATTTTAAATGTAAATGTTAGCCTTAGAGCCTTAAGAGAGAGAGAGAGCCTTAGGGTAAATCTGACACTTGAGAATTTCGAAAGAAAATCCTTCCACTCGATTGACGGTGTTCTGTGTTCGATCACTTCACGCCAGTCTTTTCCCCATTTTCACCATCCACTTCCATTTCCATTGTCTTTTCGAAAAGCAGAAACAAGCTTAAGTCTTGTTCTTGTCTTTTTCTTCTTTTCTTCTTCTTCTTCTTCTTCTGAAAAGCCTTTTTGGGGTCGTACATGATGACAAAGAGAGCACTATTCGCACTTCTTCAAGACAAAGTTCTTTCTTTCCTTCTTTCTTTCTTTCTTTCTTTTCTTTCTTTTCTTTCTTTCTTTCTTTCTTTTCTTTCTTTTCTTTTCCCGTATCTTTTTCTGTTCACTGTTTACAAATCAGCAATAGCTTCAAGACTTTGTGGAAAAGACTGGTTGGAAAAGAATTCGTGAAGTGACGAAGGGAAAAGGAAAAGGAAAAGGAAAAGGAAAACAACAGAAAAAAAGGAATTTAGAAAACGCACTGTAAATTGAGAAACCAGGATTGAGTCTGTAAATTGAGCAACCAAGAAATGTTTAAACCCATTTCAAGGCCTGAATCCTAAGCTAAGATGCAAGCTGAAGCTGTCTTTGGTCTGTTCTTTGTAATCAGGATTAGATCAAAGCAAGCAGCTAGACTAACTGGCTTCTGAGGTACTTGTAAAAACACCTGAGCCAATCAGAATTCAGATTAGTTGCGCAATATCAGCCTAGCAATATCCTGAACTCAAATGATTTGTTGTTTACTGTACTATACCAGTAGATTCTTTGTAAACAACTATAGATCTAGTCTTGTAAGTCTTTCTGTTCTGTTCTGTTTCTGTTCTGTTTCTATTCCAGTTTTTCGTTTCACAAAAGCTTTCAGATTCAAAAAAAAAGTTTATTTTCTAGTCTAGACTAATAAGTTTCTCTTTGTTTATTCAAAACAAAAAAAAAACTAAAAATCGTATCAAAAAAAGCTGTTTATTTAAAGTAAAGAAAAAATATTTTGGTTTTGGTAAAGAGAAAGGGAAAGAATGGATTTGTCTTTTTACTTATTCGAGTTCTCAAATTACAACTACTCATCTCGTATTGTTGAAGGGGAAATCGAGCTGATCTTGTTGAAGGGGAAATGTTGAAGGGGAAATCGAGCTGATCTTGTTTTCAACTCTATCAAAATCTATCAAAAATATGGAATAGATTGAAAAAATTTCGTTTAAGAACATTTCGTTTAAGAAACAGAATGATTATCTTTCACTTAAAAGGCTTAAAACGTTTGAAATCGTTTTAAATCGTCTTAAATCGTTTTAAATCGTCTTGAAGCGCTTTCAATCATCTTAAATCGTTTTAAATCGTCTTAAAAGCATTTTCAATCGTCTTGAAACGTTTTCAATCGTTTTAAATCGTCTTAAAAGCATTTTCAATCGTTTTAAATCATTTTAAATCGTCTTAAAAGCATTTTCAATCGTCTTAAATCGTTTTCAATAGTTTTAAATCGTCTTAAAAGCATTTTCAATCGTTTTAAATCGTTTTCAATAGTTTTAAATCGTCTTAAAAGCATTTTCTAAAACGTGCTTTTACAAACAAACTACCTCTACGGTAACTTTTCGACTTTACCCCCAGAAAACAGTGTTTTAGAAAAGCTAGTAGCTTAGTTGAACAAAAATTCGATCCAAATAAACATAGATCTAGATCTAGACAGAAATCTAGAAAGACAGAGATTGACAAAAGAAAAACAAAAGAATTTGAACTCTTTTGTGCCAAATTTAATCCCGTTGACGTAGAAAAAAAACCTTTCTTATCAATGACAATAGATTTCTTTGAATGCCACCATTTCATTCTGCCATTTTGTCACACATTCAAGTGTCAGCGTCTACCATTTTTCTGAAGAGAAAATAAAGCAATTCTTCTAGAGTGGTCTGCGCGCCAAAAACAATGCGCTTTTTTTCTGCTTTTCTTGAGCATTCTTTCCACACACACACACACTTTGTTTTGATGAAAAGAAAGAGAGAAACAAAAAAAGGACACGAAAGAAATGCTTTGGAGTGAAATCGAGGAAGTGAAATGATTGTCGTTGAATATTGAACACAATATTACCTTCTTTCTATTGTAATAGAAAATAATAAAAACAAAAGCCAATTTTCCCCTTAGACATCACGAATTTGTGCTTAAAGTCTTTCAAAGAAAGATTCGTGATTTAGAGATGCAAATTTCACACAATCCCTTTCCAGGAACTCTATCAAGAGAGTATTACCTGGTACCTACATACCTCAGAGGTATCCCCATACCTGGTATCCCTATACCTCAGAGGTATCCCCATACCTGGTAACCCCATACCTCAGAGGTAACCCCATACCTCAGAGGTAACCCCATACCTGGTAACCCCATACCTCAGAGGTATTCCCATACCTGGTAACCTCATACCTGGTTTTGTGTGCTAAATTAGTGCATTTTTAGGTAACCCCCATACCTCCGTGGTATCTTTTATGAATAAGAACAATGATTAAACGAGGAAACAAATATCTTTTTGATTAAACAATCATCAAAATATATATTAAAATAAGCTTGTTTTTTCTTTCTACTAAAATGCGTCATTCTCTTGATAAATCAAGCTTTCTGACAAAAACCCCATTTTGCCATCTTTCCAGGAGCCCTATTTTGCTTTTACTATTTATAAACACTATAAAACACTTAAGAATTGATTTTAGTGCTTTAACAAAAAAGCAAAAACTTTTTGACAGTGAGGGGATTCGAACTAGGGACGGGGAGCTAAAGGATAGCACGAAGGACGAGCACACTCTCCCCTACACTATCCGTTCGTTCACTATCCCCTACACCATCCGTTCGTTCACTATCCCCTACACCATCCGTTCGTTCACGATCCCCTACACCATCCGTTCACCAATTCTCGGAAAGTAATTCGGCCTCATACCGCGGTGTTTTTCCAAAAAACCCTCAAACTTTAAGAGTATTTTTCTCGAAAACTGGAGCTTTAGGGAGCTTTAGAGCTGATTCAAATCAATTTTTGATCTGTAAAAGTGTTCTATCAGAGCTACGGTGCACTAAACTATCAATAAGTCAAATCACAAAATACCAAAGTACTTACAAAGTACAAAAATCAAATTTCCAGGCGTCGAAACGAACGCGACGACAACAAACGGGATGCGGGTGTTCAGCTTTTTGCAATTGTCAACCCTCATACCCGTCGACATCGATCTCATTCTCGATTCCAATTATGACACCGACATGTCAATGTCAACAAGCGCCACAATGCCAACAACAATGCTCGGTGACACAAATGGTTTGTGCTTTGTGCTTTGTGCTTTGTGCTCCTTTGACGTTGTGGAAAAATAGTGCCTAAAATTGACTTCAGAATCGCGACTGCTCATCGACGTGTCAACGAGCTTGTGTGCCGGCGTGTAATCGATACTCGACCACTCCGGGAATCTGCTCCACGCAATGCAACAATATTTGCTCTGGTTTGATGAATAATTCTTAGAAAACCCGATCTTTTACAGGCACTTGCTCATCAGCTCGACAAACAGCCGCCACCGCAGCTCCTCCCGTTCAATTCATTCCAAATCCAAGTGTCTCGAATGGTTGTCAGTATGGATGTCAAAGCAAGTGTCAGGTATTCGATTTTCGAATGCTAAACGAATGAAATTTCTTCTTTCAGTCGGCTTGCGAATCGAAATCCCAGCCGGCTCCTCTTTGCCAGCGCACGTGTTCAAACGCTTGCTCGTTCTCGTGTTCACAACAAGCGATTGCCGCCTCGATGGCTCCAATCACAACCACAAGCGCTCCATTAACAACACCGTCAACGATACAGGTTTGGAAAAAAATAAAAATTATATTAGCTTACCGTAAATACATAATGACGGCGCGGAGTGTTGCGTAGTCTAGCTTTGAACGCGTTTTTCTCGACACTGGTTTATGATACAATGTTTGTTTAGGTATCAAAAAATAGCCCTGAATTTCAGCTACTTTTTGATACCTAAACGAACATTGTAGCATAAACCAGTGTCGAGAAAAACTCGGTTCAACGCCCGGGGGGGGGTTTAATAGTACTTAATAGTTCTATGAGTTTCTATGAGTACTGGCCTCAAAGTCAGTACTGGCCTCAAAGTCAGTACTGGCCTCAAAGTCAGTACTGGCCTCAAAGTCAGTACTGGCCTCAAAGTCAGTACTGGCCTCAAAGTCAGTACTGGCCTCAAAGTCAGTACTGGCCTCAAAGTCAGTACTGGCCTCAAAGTCAGTACTGGCCTCAAAGTCAGTACTGGCCTCAAAGTCAGTACTGGCCTCAAAGTCAGTACTGGCCTCAAAGTCAGTACTGGCCTCAAAGTCAGTACTGGCCTCAAAGTCAGTACTGGCCTCAAAGTCAGTACTGGCCTCAAAGTCAGTACTGGCCTCAAAGTCAGTACTGGCCTCAAAGTCAGTACTGGCCTCAAAGTCAGTACTGGCCTCAAAGTCAGTACTGGCCTCAAAGTCAGTACTGGCCTCAAAGCAGTACTGGCCTCAAAGTCAGTACTGGCCTCAAAGCAGTACGGGCCTCAAAGTCAGTACGGGCCTCAAAGTCAGTACGGGCCTCAAAGTCAGTACGGGCCTCAAAGTCAGTACGGGCCTCAAAGTCAGTACGGGCCTCAAAGTCAGTACGGGCCTCAAAGTCAGTACTAGCCAGTACTTTCTATACTCAAAGCCAGTATAGAAATCTACTTCTTAGATCGCTCTCGACATCCGCGATCCCTACTATGGAACAAATTGTCAAGAGCGTTGCGATCAGAATTGTCTCTCGATGTGCGTCTCGTTGGGAAATCGGGGAGCTGATTGTCAGCCCGCGTGTCAATCGACGTGCTCTGACTCGTGTTCACAAAGGTACTGTATTGGATACAAAAAAAGCTATGATGTTCTTACAGACCGGCACCCCCGGTGGCGCCAGCTAGCCCGCAAAGCTCTTGCACAGCGGTGTGCCAACCAGATTGCAAACCTGAGTGCATACAGGTGAGGTTTACAATAGTTATAATCAAATTCTTACAATAGCCTTAAAACCTTTTGCATACTTTACTTTGCTTTACAACTTTACGACCTTTATCCTACTGTAAGTTCTAGTTTTCCGTCTCTCTACAATAATAAGGCCAAAAATACTGTAAGATAGATTATAACTAACAAGGAAACGGTTGGAGCTCGTGGTGGAACCTCGATATGCAATATAGAAAGTCTTGTAAAGCTTGGAAAGACGAATCGAATGATGTCCAAACTCCAAAATGAATCAAACCCTGACCCTTTACTTAGTAAACCTTTGCACTAACCACTAGACCGCAGCCAGTCCTTTGAAAACACCTTAAGACCATATAAAAGCTCTTCAGCCAGCTATGTTTACAATGCAGCTAGCTGTTCAGTCAGCTAGCTGTTTACAATGCTCATAAGCAGCTAATTTTTACATTATTCGACTCGTCTTTCCAAGATTTACAAGATTTTCTATTGGGTTGGTGGAAAAGTCCTTTCCGATTTTTTGGGAGAGTACCTTAAATTGGTCCAATTTTGGACGTTTTATAGTTCATTCTAAAGCTGAATTCAAGACGGATCGATTGGTAAAAACCGTTTTGAGATATCTCTTTTCTAAAAGTTTTTACAGCTATTTTAGTAAAGGGCGGCAGAGCCAAAAAAAAATGGCTGTTTTCACGTTTCGTTAGTTTTCCGTGCAGAAACCTAGGCTAAAAACATGTGTTTCGTGATCAGCGTCAAAAATGACCCCTAGACACGCATTTTCAGAATCTTAGCAAAAAATTTTTGAAAAATATTGTCATTCGTGAGAGTCGAACCAGCGACCCTCAGATCAATAGCCTTTCCGCCACTTTTCGCGATTTTCCTTCGTTTTTCTTGTTTTTTTGTTGAAGAATGTTGAAGAATGAAAAGAGATATCTCAAAACGGTTTTTACCAATCGATCCGTCTTGAATTCAGCTTTAGAATGAGCTTTAGAAAACGTCGAAAACTGGACCAGTTTAAGGTACTCTCCCAAAAAATCGGAAAGGACTTTTCCTCTAATCCAATATATTGCATATCGAGATTCCACCACAAGCTTCAATCGCTTTCTTCTAAAACTGTATTTCTTTAACAGTTGAATAATCTAAGTTTAAAGCCATCATATAATCCCTATTGCCGTACTAAATGCAACCCTTTTACAATCTTGCATCAGCTTGTGAGGCTTGTGAGCAATGAGTGTACTCTCCGAAACCTAAAAACACTCTAAATCTCAATCCAATCCAAATCTCATCAATTTTTCAGTCCTCCGTGCAACCACCCAGCTACTCAACCGGGCAATCCTCAGCCTGCGTCTCTCAATGTGCAAAAGGCTGTGAAGCGGGTTGTCCAGCCGCTGATGTCCATGTGTGTTCGCCTTCCTGTGCAGCCGCCTGTGAACAACAATGTTACAAAATCTCAGTGGGTCTCATTCCGGACAAATCGGCTCAAGTCTCGGCTGTTGCTGCTTCTTCCACTTCGCCAAGCGTGATCATTCCCCCGCTGCCTCAACAGCCTCAGCCACAGCCTCCGCCTCAGCCTCAGCCACAGCCTCAGCCTCAGCCTCAATGCATTGCCTCGTGCATGCCTGCTTGTGAGCCTCAATGTGTCTCACCTCCACAATGCGTGCAAGCTTGCCAGCCAGCTTGCGAGAGCAACTGTATTCAAAAGTTTACCGTCACTGTGCCTCCTGCTTGCCCACAGCAATGCCAACCGGCTTGCGAGGCGAGCTGTGTCTCGGTGCAAGTCTCGGCGAATACCCAGGTAGAGAGTGTGACTAATGGACAGGGTAATGCCCAGCCTAACCCACCAGACTTTCAAGCACAAGAAGCTTTACTAGTGATCACTGAAGCTCCACAATTACTCATTGCACCGAGTGCCGATGATCCTGAGTTCACTAATACTAATGACACCGAGATTGTAAAGACGAGATCGGAGGAAGTGGAGAAATCGAGTGATTTGTTATCGGAGAAATATTTGAGTCTAGTGAATCAGTTGACAAATCAGTTGAAGCTATTCTTTTATCCACCGCCAGCGAAACCAAATGCGAAAGTGATTTTCAAGACGACGAAAGGACCGGCTGCAGAGACGAGTACTCCCAATTCGAATAGTTTAATCCATTTACCTGACTACATGATGCAACCGGATCCATTAGATTTATTTAATGACGATGAGCTGGAAAACAAGACGACTGTAGCTGGGGAAACGAGTCTAAACGCCACTACTTCTACAGTACCCCTGGTTAACTCAACGGTGTCTGGGACTTTAAATGGTGGAGCTTCTACAGTACTCCAAGTGAACTCAACTTTAGACTCTATCCAAAATGAATCTACTATCGTACCCTCGAGCTCAACTAGTGCTACCGTCCCTTCTGAGTCCCTAGAAAGCACTACGGTGCCCATTGATCTCACGACTTTTTCCCCGGAAACCCATTGGGCTACGACAACAGCCAGAAGTCGTCCATGGCCTATCGTTTTCGCGTACGTGCCTGATCATGCGAATCCAATTCCTAATATCATTCATCAATCACAAATGAATATCTTCAATGGATTGACGAATCCACTAATGAATGCTGTCAATTATGCTTCACACGATCACCCGCCACTTGCACAAAATCCATTTGGAACGATAGGGACGTTTATAAGGTTGGCACTTTCGTTTTCTACAGTAGTACATGAATATTGATAAGAGACTTCTTTTTGGAGTTGGAACTAGGGTTCAAAAAGTCAAAAGACCAAAAAGTTATGTCTGACCTGGACTCGAACCCACGACCTTTCGCTTACTAGCCAAATGTGCTAACCATTACACCACAACGACCTTAATCTCCCTGCCTCTAGAGGGAGTTAAGATATAGTTTGACGTTTCAAACAGTATTAATTAATAATCATTAATGCATACAATTTATCCAATTTATCCAGCTCTTTTCGAGTTTCGATTTTAAAAGCTCAAAAAGCTTAAAAGATCTTGAACTCTTGTGTGAATCTTGTGTGTGACTGAAATATTCACCACTCACATTCCCCATTAATCCCAATCTCATCCAGGCCTCATCCATCATCCGCTTCTCAACTCATCCCACCCCAAACACTTCCTAAAAGCCTTAACAAGGTTTGTGCTTTTGGTGAATGGTTTTTGGAAACAATTCTCTCTCACTCCACTAATCCCAACTCTCCATAAACAGCTTGATATACCTTTGTGAATGTCTAGATGCCCTTCTCATTGCCCTCTCCCGTGAGTGCTGTTGTTTCTTCTCCTCCTTCCCAATCCTCCTCTTCCCCCGTTGCCAATCCCTCTCCATCTGTGCACACCGTGCAAATCGGTGTCTCGAATCAGCAACTCCTGTGTGCTGCTCCTTGCCTACCCGCCTGTCTCCCCGATTGCTTGATCTCGCTGCAAACAGGCAATCAACAGAAAACCGTTCAGTCTCCGCAACCGGCAACAACCAAACAATCGATCTCGTCCGGGTGCGCTTGTCAGGACACTTGTGAACGAGGATGCATGCAGAGTCAGGTATCAATTGTGAATTAAAGCTGCAATAAAGATATCTTCAGGCAAACGCTCAACAATGCCACGTGCTGTGCATCGAGGTTTGTGCTGAGGAGTGTGCTAAAGTGACCGTCTCGGTGCCGACACAGCCACAGCCTCAGGCTCAACCACAGCCATCCGTTCAGCCTCAACAACCACCACCTGGTAGGCCAAAGAGCTGAACCTACTGACTGACTTACAATCGTTTTACTTGTGCTATATCTAAACCTGAAGCCTGGTCAGCTTCTACTATAGTACTTCTACTGAATTTTAGACCATATTTTAGACTATATTTTAGACCATATTTTAGACTATATTTTAGACCATTCTTTCCATTCTAGGTGTCTCAACGAACTCGATTCACTCACCCGATTTCCAATCTCCTCAATGTATGCCCGCTTGTGAGTACTCATGCAATATGCAATGTGTCGAGCGATTACCTCAAGATCATTGCGGAAACATTTGCAGGTGATTTTCAAAAGAAACCTAGATATTTTGTAATAGTTTGTAATATTTTCTATTTCTAGAGGCCAATGCACGGTGGCTTGCGGCTCGGGACTTCAAGTGCAGCAAGCGGGAAATGTATCATTTTTAGTAAACAACAAGAAAAATTCTGTTTTAGCCAATCAACTATCAACAAGCAAATCAGAATATGCTGGTGCAGGTTGGGGAAATTTGAAATTCATTTCAAATAACACTGAAGTTTTCTTTCCTTTGTGCATCTGGAAATGTTTTCTAAAAGAAAAGCTATCGTAATCCTTAGCTTACTAAGGAAAACCTATCGTAATCCCTAGGAATGGATCTAGTAACTTAAATTTTTAAAAAAACAGCCAATGCCAAGGACTGGCTAGCTAGCTAAAAGATTTTACAGAGTTTTTCAACTAATCAACAAAACTTTTGAATGGTTTTCGATCTGTCAAAGTTGTGCTAATCATTTTAAATCCATTAAATTGTCTCTAGTTGATAGCTAACTCTTTAGACTATAAAAACTGATTGTACTCATCTTACTTAAACTCAAAAATCAAACTTGATGTGCTCACAGGTTTCAATCGAGTTGAGCACGTGTCTCTCGGTGTGTGAGCCGACTTGTCTCCGCGATTGCGCGCATGGGGATCAAGGGCTGAAGTTGGCGTGTGCGCCGGCATGTCGCGGAGTTTGCGAGCAATCCTGCTCGAACACTGTGCTCCAACCATTGATGGAAACACAGGGCTCGATCAATTCGATCAATTCGATCAATTCTCAAGCCTCGTCAACAGTTTTCTCACGAATACATCCGTCCGAGCTCGTTCCAGAGATGCAAATCGCCGCCCCACCAGTGCATGTTTCTGAGGTTTGACTGTCGGGAATGAAATGCGAATTTGTTACTAATGTTAAAAATCGCATCTACTTTACTTATTCTATCAAAACTCTATCAAAACTCTATCAAAATTCTATCAAAACTCTATCTAAATTAGACTCTTTAAAAGTAATTTTATCTCTTAATCGAGTTTCGCATGAGAAAAACTATTCAAAAAAAGTTTCCCTGTCCGTTTGGGGTGTTCTATCAAATCTATAAACTTTGACTTATAGAAAACTTATAGATAATTTGTATTTTTATGTATTTTGATGTATTTTGATTATTTTACATAAATTCATCTTCTATTTTACTTATAGACTGCTCCATCACAACAGGAATGCGCACCGAAATGTCAGAACGATTGCGAGAATCTTTGCCCCGTCAAAACGCCACAATGTCAACAAGGTTTGAAAAGCATTATAACATATTTACTTCTAAACATTACATTCAGGCTGTTCTGTCTCGTGTGCCCAGTTGTGTGGCCGGGCGCCGATGCCAGTCTCATCCTTGGTTTCCGCCAACAATCAGTACAATTGCAATGTGCCCTGTGATGTACAGTGTACGCAAAATTGCGTGAATCAAGGTAAGAAAAGGATAAAGTTTTATAACTCAAGCTATTCGAAATACTATGTAAATTGTAGAACCTGTTTGTGCGACGACTTGTGCGACTCAATGCGAAACGGCTTGTCCGACGGTGAGCTGCGAGGATGCTTGTGAGACAGTTTGTCAAGGACAGGTATTGAAAACAAATCCCTAGATTTATCTACGACATTTCTACAGTAGTTCTCACAATTATCACAATTTCCAGTGCACTTTCTCCGGTCAGGACAGTCGAGCTTGTGCCCCGGCTTGTAAACAATCGTGTCGAGCTCTGTGCGCAAAGCGACGCGTGAAACGAGCGTGATTTCCCCTTAACAACATAAGAAACTATATGTGAGTAGTAAAATTCGGAAAATTTCAGTCAATTGAGAACCAGCTTTGGATTTAAATTTGGTAAAAATCTCATTCTGTAGCAAGGTCCCTTTTGTACTTTGTGTTCTCACAAACACGTCTTCCCTAGCAAAGTCACTTCTTATTGAAGTTTCCAAAGAGTTTCTTGCTTTATCAGAACTATTGTTTGCCAGAGAGCGCGCGTTTACAAGTTTGCCAGAGAGCGCACAGTACTCACCGCCGATGCGTGGAGAACGTAAACGCGCTCCATCTGGCGCACAAGTTTGTGAGGTTTACTGTAGCACAGATTACTGTAATGAAAATAAGACAAATCAAATTCTACCATTCAATTAAAAAAATTTAAGCTACTTCTTCGTAACAAACTTAAAACTATTGAATTATTTCAGCTTTGCCCCAAACATTGCCAGAGAATCACCCAACCCAATCCATCAAGAAAAACCCAAGAGATTTTTATATTTTCACTTGTTTTAATGATATTCTGATACGTGTATTCTCCTCACAAAATTTTCTATGTTTTTTTTGTCTTTCTTTAAATCTAACTAAGTCATGGACAAAAGTCTTGGAAATTCGAAAAGAAAGAGCTATTTTTTAGTGTTTTCGGGCATTTTCGGAAGAAACTTCTAATAATATTTATTCTAAAATTGCTCTTGCATTACTTAAAAAAAATCGTTTTCAAAAATCTTTACTGGGAAGTTCAAAAAGCGAAAAAATGTAGTGGACAAAAGTCTTGAAAATTTAACAAAGTGACACAGACATTTTGAAGAGCTGCCTGTCCGTGTAAACCGATAGACATGCAGTGGCAATCGTGACATAAACTAGACATTTTTAGCATTCTAATGAGCTATCACACAGCTTATTTGGTTACAATTAAAAAAGTTAAATATCGATAACATTAAAAAAATAGCTTTTCACTGTGTAAATTGATGTAAAAAAGTAAAAAATAGCTTTTTTTTAATTTCCAAGACTTTTGTCCATTACTGTATTTAAAAAAACAAGACGTCTGTCTGTCTGTCTGGCTATCTGTCGCGGCGCGGCGCTCCTATGTACACCTTTGGAATCTCGGCCCCCCGTGAGCCGATTTGGCTGAAAATTTGACCGTAGATAGAGAATTAAAAATAAGGGGACTTGTGTTCGAGCGTTTTTTCGAAGACTCAAAACGTTGCATATTTTTTGACCGCACTCGAACCCTCGACCCCTGGATCTCAGCCCTCCGTGGACCGATTTGGCTGAAAATTTGGCAGTAGAGCTGGTTTATTTGAAATTTCTCTAGTCACTCGAGTCTCATTGACTAGTCATCAAATAAAAATTGTTTCTCTTGCTCTTAAATTTTCAAAGTGAAAAGCTCTTGTTTTATTTTTAACTTATTGGGTCTATTTTTTTAGAGAAATGCTCAAAAATATCTAGTCATTCATCAAAAGAATTTCATAATGTTTCTTGTTATTTTTGAAAAGTCGATCAGATTGAATAAAAGATTAGTTTTGACTGTATCACAATTAAAAAAGATGGCCAGTGCGAAAAGTACGGTAAACAAATAACAAACAAACAAAGAAAACAAATAAAGTAATTACACAACAGTATGAACAAATCTAACGGGTGATAGGAAAAAAAAAAGGTTTTTTTTTTTTTTATTTCCGGAAAAAAAAAAAAAAAAAAAGGTTTTTTTGGGGGAGAAAAAAACCCAACAAAAAAAAAAGGGGGGGGGAAAATGGGAAGAGAGAAAAAAAAAAAAAAAAAAAAAAAAAAAAAAAAAGTTAATGGCAAAGGGGGGGGTTTTTAAAAAGATATTTTTGGAAAAATAAAGGGGGGGGGGGGGGGGGGGGGGGAAAGGAGAAAAAAAAAGGGGAAAAAAAAAAAAAGGGGGGGGGGGGGGGGGGGGGGAAGGGGGGGGGGGGAGGGGGAGGGAGGGGGGGGGGGGGAAAAAAGGGGGGGGGGGAAAAGAGGGGGGGGGGGGGGGAGTCTTTTTCAGTTTGTTTTGTAAAAATCTTGTTTCCTTTTTTTTTTTGGCTGAAAAAAAAAAAAAAAGGAAATTAAAACTGGCTTTTCCCCCTCAAGTTTTACTTAAGCCATTATAATTTCCTGTCCTTAAAAAGAAAAGGATTTACCAAAAATATTTTGGTTTTGTCAAATTTATTTTGGTCCAAAGCTTACTCTCTTCGACTTGCGAAAGTAATATTGATTGATGTGCCATAATACAATTCAAATTACTACAGTATTCCCTATTAGATTCACACAATATTCCTTATTAAAACTTTTAAAAACAGCTTAAAAAGGTTTAACTTCGTGCGCATCTGCTCCCATCTGCATCTTTTGTGTACCCTATACCGTGACCTTTAGCACTCTCGGGTCATTTTTTAGCATTTCAAGCAAAGAGGCTTGCTATGAAATGGTTCAAATCAACCAGTCTTTAAAAACATTTTATTAATTGAAAATCTTTTGTGTTGATCAGTAATCTAATAAATCTAGAGCTATTGATAGTTTGATATGTTTTAGATAGAATTTTATGATCAAAAGTCGAACCAATCCAGTTCTTGTTTCGAAAATGGCGCTTTTATATGTTTTACTATTTTATTGTTTATATGTTATATGTTATGTTCTTTGCTTTTTGACTTAACTTTTAATGCTATTTTTAGGAAACGAAGCGAGATGTCGCAATTTCGACCCCCAACCGGAACCCCGGCTCGATCGGTAAGGTTTTTTCTCTTGGATAATTGTTAGTTTTTAAGCTTTTTGTAAAAGATCATGGTCAGAGACTTTCTGTTAAATTGGTTTTTGAAATGAATAAGAAGACCGACGGAGAAAGGAATGTACATTTAAAAGAATGGTTCTCCGATTTGAAAAATGGAGTAAACTGCAATATTGAAACGCAGTGCTCACTTAATTATCAGTTGTCAGTCTTGATTTGAATTAATCTTTCTTATTTTAGGCAGTGGAGAATGGTGGCAATATCAAGCCGCCGAAAGCTCCCGAGAAGCCGCTCGTCCCCTACATGCGCTTTTCGAGGAAGATGTGGGCAAAGGTAAGATATTTGAAAATGTTTATAAACATAGGGCAGACTAATTAGCTTTTAAAGTTAGATTAAGGATGGATAGTGATTCTTGCTTAAAATCAAACTAAAATTTATAGGTTCGCTTATTATATTGTTTCTTTTATAGGTTCGAGCCGATAATCCGGAATCTCAACTATGGGACATTGGAAAGGTCCGTTAATTTTTTTAGCAAAGTTTATAAATTGCATGCAAAAAAGAAGTGCAAAAGGCTCCAATGGGGAAGCTATCGATTTATTGACTCTTCTGAATAATAAACAGAATGCCTTTGTTGCTGAAAAAAAACATTTCTGTTTTTAGGTGATCGGACAAATGTGGAGGGATACGCCCGACAACGAGAAGCAAGTTTATCAATTGGAGTATGAGAACGAGAAGGTGGGTTGTTATAAAATCCTAATAGAATTAGAATTTAAAGGCACTACTGATAAATTTATCAGACCAGCATGTTTAAGAGCAAAAAGTATTGCTTGTTCTTTGATTAAAACTGTAATTAATCGATAGCTGAAGAACAAAACAAGTATTTTTGTTTAATGTGTGAAAGAAGGAGAGTTTTTTGTATGGACTAGGGTATGGTGAATGGTCGAGGGGGAAAGAATGGGGTGTCAAAAGGTAAAAGGGACGACCATCCCTTTCCCTTGCCGTCCCTTCCCCAATATGAATGAATCACCATGGTGATTATGTGTGCCCGCGAATCCAAATTCCTCATCAACTACCACTTTTGAAAACGACGCTATTATAAAAAATTCTAGTTCGGAGTTTCTTGTTGCTTATTTAACGTTAAATTTTGCTTGGCACGTTCAAATCGAGTGTGATAGAAATCTTCACTTCTTATTGTTTCATGGCTTAGTTTTGGGCGGTAAATTTATGTCAAGGACTAGGTTATTATGGACTTCTGGCTTTTATTTTGTAATTTTTGACTTATCAACAACAGCATAGAAAAACTTGCAAATGCCACTTAGAGGATGTGTGAGCCAAAAAATATGTTAAACAATAGAATAAAGGTAAGCTAATCTCATTCAGAAGACTTGGTTAGATGGTTAGCTACTCGGCAAAATGGTTCGCTTTGAGACACGATTTTTATCTGAAGAACGATGAAAATGAGTAAATTTTTTTTAAGTAGCGCGATATCGGCAAAACAAATGATGACTGTTTAGTTATTGGGTGTAGCAGGGCTTCAATACCGGCTAAAAATCGCGCTTTTCCGACAGATAATTTAAAAGAATCAAAGTTAAAGATTTAGAGTTCTAAAAAACACATTTGACATTGTTTTATTCAATTGGCTTGTTAGTTGGAGTTATGTCTGCAGGCGTACCCAAGAAGAGATGAAATGATTTTATGGCATTTAATGCATGTTTCCAAAATTCTCAAACTCGAAACGCGACTAGTAAAAATACAAAATAGAAGCCAAAAGTCCCGGATTTTACTCAAGACCCAGTTTTTGTAGTTTAAAACCGATTGTATATTTTATAGATTCAGCCAATTGCAACCCATTAATTTTTACGCATTCACGTATTTGTGTTCAGGTTGAATACGACAAAGCAATGAAGCAATACCAGAACTCGCCCGCCTATCAACAATATCTACAGGCCAGGAATCGACAAAAACAAACGGAAAAGGTTTGTGCTTAGCTGAGGTTATATAAAATGGTTAAATACCTATTTACAACTAAAGAATTTTTATTTAGATGTCCCGGAATCGAACAATGGACGCCGGTGGAGTTGTGATACAGCCAGTTGGTTCAAATTTTAAGATTGTATAACATTTTATATAAATTTTGACGGTTGACGAAGATGAGAGCCACAACGAGATGACATTCCGTAAAGTTGCACACACGAGGTTGGGTTTAAACTAATAATTCAGTAAGAATAATAATTTTGTACTCAAAATGTTCACAACTGGCGGCGAACTTTGATTATAATGTGTTTAATAGTTGAAAAAGACGTCGTTTTGGCTAACATTATTAATTTCCAAAAGTTTAGGTACGAGCGCAATCAACGCCTGATGGCCGAGCTCTTCAACCCACAAATTGTGAACGACACGAGAACAATTGTTGGACAAAGCCGGATTGAGATGCTACGGAAACAGGTTAGAATGCAATTTATAGTTGTTTGTTAACGTAATACCAATTTATGAATTTAGGCTCAATCCCTCGCTTCTCACCAATCCAAGCTCGAAGATGAGCTCCGAAAGTTGGATGAAACGTTTGAGGCAAAGAAGCGCGCAATCGAGAAAGGAAGTGAACAATTTGCTGAACAATTGAAAAAGGTTGGGTTGCTTGTATTTAAAATATCATAGTGTAAAATGTTTAAACTAATTGTCTTTTTAGGTTTGCGAAGAGAAGCCGGTTCTGGATGACAATAAATTCCAAGAGCTCGTCACGAAATGGGAGGGTGAATTGAGTACGGCATACGTTGACTATAAAAAGAAACAAGACGAAATTGCGGCAAAAGCTGGTAAGTTTGCGCTTAGCCTAGTATTAATCCCATTGAATTTAGTTAACAATTATTTTTTAGAAAGCGATCGTGCTGCTCTTGCCGAGAAAAGTGCCCTCTTCGCGATGGTGGCCGAAAATGATGATGAAGCGAAAGAAAAGGAGAAAGAGGAAGAAGAACAGCAAAATGAAGAGAAAGCGGAAAAAGCACCTGAACAATCCGAGGAAAATCCAGCGGAGAAGGTGAGTGTTTTTGGAGAAAAAGACAAATGTCAAGATATTGCTTGTCATTATTGCAGCAAACTAAAAGTGCCAAAGTAAAACCACTTTAAGCTCTCAATTTTAGTGCAAAAGTGCGTCACCGAAAGAAGTCAATGATGAGGCTAACCCTTCAGAAAACGGCAACTCTAATCCGGCACCAAGTCAAGAAGATGATACACCGGCTGAAGAAGAAGAACAAGACGAAACACCGATGGATGAATGATTGGTGTATTTATTACGAATTGTATTTCATCGTCGACACTATTATTATGCTTGTGAATATTCTGTATTGATCTCGATTTCGTTATTTTGTATTGACTCAATTTCGACATTTTGCGAATAAAATTTGGCGCCAAATTAGCAAAAGTAGAGCAACTCGGAAACCAAAAAATGGATCAGTAAGCAGTGTTGAAGATAGTTGAACTTTTAGTCGATCTGACAATAGTTGTCTCGTCTTCTCCCTGCTGGCTGCAATTTGATGATTTAAGCCAGTCGATAAAACGAGAACATTTGAAGATTTATTCAGAACAACCATAAAATTACCTATTTACTCTTTTCCTCTTTTTTGGCGTCTTGCGTTCGATTCTCCTTAATTGATCCAGACGCGTTTTTCTTCTCCGAAAGATTCGGCTTGTCCTCTTCAAATGCCTCCTCGTCGCCATCGATTGCATCTCCCATATATTCCAAAACAGCCTCTTCCTTAACAAAATATATTTATTACTTTAAAAGTAAAGTTCTTACCATGTCATCCAGAAGTTGAGCTTTATTGCCGTACAAAGGCTTCGGGTATTTCTTGCTCGGCTCCGTGCGTTGTGTGCGCTGCGTTTTGTCTTTCAGTCTCTAAAGCAAGGAGAATTATAAGGCTTCCTTTTAAAACAAGCTAGATTACAACTAGGTTAAAACGTATAAACAAACCTGAACGGTGCGCTTTTCGATCTCATTTTTATTGATAAGGTTCTTTTTCTCGTGAGCGGACGATGAAGCTGTTTGCACGTCATTCCCGCTTGTCGTTTTGGCGGCTTTCTCTTTGATGCTTGAGCTTTGGTTCACATGTGTGTGTGATGAATTCCGTCGATCAAATGGCAAGTCTTGTTCATCCTAAAATAAGAAAAGTTGGAAAAGAACACAGTTAATCAGAGTAGTGAAAAACAAGCAACCATCTCAATGTCCAGTGTTTGAGCTTGCACGTACTCGAATTCCTCATTTTGCAGTTGACCCCTCTTATACCAGTGATAAAATGTGGATGCTGCCAAGTAGATCGACAAGAAAACTGTGTAGCCAAGGTAGGTGATGTCAAACGCGTCGACTCGAGTGAACGCATCTTTGCTGTCGAACCACTAAAGAAAGCGATATTGTTCCTGCATACCTTTATTTTGACAGCACTTTTGCTGTTTTACCTTTTTAATTTTTCTAGTAATTCTTAACTCAAATGATCGCAGTTTCAGTTCGCTAAAGCAAACTAGGCAAGTGTTTGCTGAATTAGACTAACACGAATCCAATGGCGATTTTGTAACATTGTGGTTTAAAACAAACAAACAAACCAATAAATTTTAAAACCGTTAAAAACATACCATCTCATCTTGCTCTCCCATTTTGAATTCGTCTTGATGATAGAAAATTAAGGGGATGATGCCTTCTTGGGCATGAGGGCAATATGAGAATGATGCAAAATTTTACTTTTAAATATTCTTTCAATGGTAATTCCTCTGGATCCATGCAAATTTTATCGAGATTATTACAAAACACCTGGGCTAGTACTTTTTGGCAAAATACAACCCTGTAGCCCAAATTAAAAACCTTTTAACTCCAAAATACTAGGGCTGTGGGGTAGGCTAGTTTCCGCGACTTTTTTTGCGCAACTGGGTCGTTTGGGCAACTCGCCATAACTTTTTTTCTAAGTGGGCCTATCTTTATGCTTTTGGTTTCATTTTGTAGATCTCAATAAGTGCAACAAAATAACACCAAAAGCATAAAGATTGACCGACTTAGAAGAAAGTTATGGTGAGTTGCGCAAACGACCTAGTTGCGCAAATGACCCTGTTGCGCAAAAAAATTTGCGGAAACTAGCCTACCCCAGGGCTATAACTCAAAGTAACTCTTCGCGGCTGATCTTCAACGGCAATTCACCGAACAATCTCTTCCTCATTTAAGCATTGCTTAATTGTATTTGTGGTCTGCTTAATAAAGAAATAAAGATTCCATTTGGTCCGATGAAAAAAATATGCACAAGGAAAACTCACAAATACAGTGCTCTTCTAATCTGCAGACTTGAAAATCACGATTACAAAATAGCATAAAAGTTTGCGTTTGAAAATTAAAGGTGGGATTTTCCTCTGCTTTGAAAGAGAAAGTGTAGCTTTGAAGCTCCGTAAAACAACTTTTGCAAGATTGCCAAAAATAGGCTCAAAAAGGCTCTTTAAGTGAAACTCGACATTATCCTTTTTGCTTTCACAAATCGGTGCTTGCTCATTTGAAGGATTTTGCATATTTCATAAAACCAAAGGGCGCTCTTTTCTGATTTGTTCAAACCAAAACTCATTTTAGCTTAAAAATCACTTTTAAAGCGTTTATTTTGCACGAATTAAAACAAGTCGAGACGAGTCAATGTTTATAACTTTGTTTCGAATGAATTCATAGACGATTAATTGTTGGGCGAAGATCGATCAAATGAACATCTCTGCAACGAGGAGGCTTTTGCTGAGGGCCGGTTTGGTCACTCTTTCTTCGATGCTTCTTGTTGTGGCTCGGGAAGAGTTGAATTGTCGTTGCCGCTTTGTTTCGAATCCTTGTTTCCCTCAGCACTCGTTGTAGGCGAGCTCTAAATAGAAAAAAATATATCTATATAGCTTCGCTGATTGTTACTTTATTTAGAGTAGGCAGAAGTTGGATGCTCTCACCGCCCTTATCTGGTTTCGGAAGGTTGACATAGGCCGACTCGGTGGGACTGTTGCGCTTCTAAAGCAAAGAAACGACAATGGCTAGCTTAAGGAAACTAACCAAAACAACTGCCGATACCGGAGTAGATGTCGTAGCAGGTGTTGGTGGGGGTGTTGCTAGAGGCGTCGTTGAAGTAGGAGAGGGATTTGCTGCAAAAGTCAAAGCCTGAGTAGCGTCTGTCTGCTAAAGCAGTAGATTTATATGTTAAAAACAATAGCAACCTACCTCGTCGTTAGATCTCTTCGAAACATCAAGAGAGACCAAGTTGGACCCAGATATTAATGAGGTCGAAGTGGTGTTTTTGTTTGCTGCAACTGCGGGAGAAAGATTCGTCGACGATGAAGACCTGGACATTATCATTGAGGCAGGTATCAGAGGGCTCGTGTAGAATGGATCCTGATCCTGTAAATAAGGTATAATTAAAACCAACAAAGAAAAACATACGGATTGTATTGCAGCTTTTGGAGCGCTTGTCGATGAGATGTGGGAAGATGCAACCACTCTTTGACCTTCCAACTAAAAAAAAGATAGATCTTCAATTTACTATCAAATTTCTTACCTGTCCCCTTAAACGAGTGAGAAAATCGTTGAGTGAAGCCCGAATTGCGCACACTTCAGTCTGGTCCTTTCCTCCAAAAACTTCCGGAAAATGAATCAAATCATCGAGAGCTGACACCGCCGAACCGAGAGACGAGATCAACTGCAGCTAGGCATTTGAATAAATCAATCGATCCCACGACAGCATATACTCGCCGAACTTGGGATAATTCCAATAAACACTCACTTTTTGGTAATTGTCGGCAACATCGCACACACCGCAAACTTCCGTCTCTTTGTCTTTTTTCTTCACATCGTTGTGCACCCTCTAAAGCCAAACCAAAATAAAAGCACAACTTTAGTATCGTAACCTTGTTTTTGCCTTCAGTACTGGTCCCGTTTTTCTGTTCCTGTTCACCGAGCCGCTTCAGTTGTACTCTAAAGTTCGAATCGGAGAGAAATCTTGATTAAATAATACCGTCGCTTCTTGATCCTTTTTTCATGGGCATTCAATTCGGATATCCATTCCCGTTCCAATTCTTTTATCTGATCTGATACCTAAAGAACAAATATAAACAATGCAACAAAAGCTAATTCACCTCTCGAATTCGTGCGTTCAAGTGTTTCATTGTCTCCGTCAATCGTTTCTCCATTCGTTCGATCGTCGTCTCGTATGTTTCATAGGTGCGAATCTCGGTCATCAATTGCTCGATCCTATTCATCGCCACGCACAACTCGCGGTCCAACGGAAGAATTGGCGGCAGCAGGAGTTGCTCAGTGGCACGAGTCATCTAAAAGAGACAAAAATTGTTAAGAAACACTCATAAACTTTTAAAGGTTTATTGTAGAAGCATTAAAGTTAAGGACAAAAAAAGCAAAAAAAAAGTACCTGTGGATCAAATGGCGGCTGAATTGAGCACGATAAATCGATACGAAATCCTAGATTCGACGGCATCCCTCGGTCGAAATTTTCTTTCGATTAAAAACGTTGAGAAGAATTGTAGAGAATAAAAAGGGGCAGAGAGTGGACGATCACCAAAAAAGAATGAAAATCTCGACACAAGGTGCCGTTATAGATAAAAGTTAAATGCAAATTATTACTTTACAAGGAAATTTTGAACGTACACCTCAAAAACACACCGCAACTAACGACGAACTTTTTGAAATAAAACTATAAAAATCTTTTTATTTTTTTCATTTTATTTTTTATTGTTGCAGCGGCCGTGCGTTCCGAATTCATCATTCTTTTGCTCATCTTTCACGTTTTACTTCGTTAATTTATCTTTTAATTTAGGTAAATGCAAGAAAACGAAGAAGAAAAGGCGGAGAACGATAAATCTTCGGAGCCTTTCAATTTGGTCGACCGAAGTGAATCAAGAGAAGAGCAGCAAATTGAAGAGTTTCCTCGCAGCGCCTCTCCAATCAATGACCTATGGGCCTCTCCACTAAAGGTGATTTTGACAAGGGAGAGGCACCGAGTCAAGCTGGCCTTTTGACTCGAGACCAAGTCGATCTTATAAAATCGGTCATGGTGAGCTCGAATCCGTTTTCAGTTTTTGCAGAACGCTTCGAAAACGAGAGATATCTAAATTTTGAGGCCGGGAGGCCGCCACACGATCACGTAACATTAAATTTTTGACCCATGTTCCAGTCCCACTCGCCAAACTTTTCTTTTTTAAGAAGCTGTTTCCCTACGTATTTGCAATGAATAATCGAGTTGAATTTTATGCAAAAAATGTAATAGGTTTGGTAGTCTAGCAGACTATCCACTAGACCACCTAAGCATTTGTTAAGGGAGCGTGTGGCGGCCTCTAGGGGCTCTAAATTCAAGTGTACTTCTATGCCAAATATCTCGCGTTTTCGAAGCGTTCTGCAAAGACTAAAAACGGATTCGAGATCCCATGCCCCCGACTCTATAAGATGGACTTCGTCTCGAGTCAAAAGGCCAGCTAGACCAGGTGCCTTTCCCCTGTGAGTTGATTTTATCGAACCTTTATGACATTTTTAGGAACCCAAGAATGGTATTGTGGAGCGACGTGTCTGCCCACCCGAAGGAAAACCAACGCGACAAACAAATCAACTCGATTATCTGCTGCACCATGTCATCATTAAAGCGCTTAAAAGCCGATATGCTTTAGAGTTCAAGTATCCTGTAAACGCAGTCAGGCTCAAATTGAACGTATTCAATCTAAGTATACGATTCTATTCTGGACTAATTTTAGGATTACCACAATGTGGTTAAACGTCCGATGGATTTAACTACAATTGAAAATCGCCTATTGAATGTTTATTACACTTCCGCCAACGAATGTCTTAGGGTAAAATTGCTCCTGTTTTGCGATTGAATATTTTAAAATTCAGGATATTGAGACGATTTTCGAGAATTGTTCTCTCTACAATTCACCAGATAATTATGTGTCTAAACAAGCTGGCGAACTGCGATCTTTGATTTATAAACTTGTTGCTAACATGCCCAAGGAGGTAAATGAAATACCAAATGATAATACTAACATTCTTTTAGGAAATAACACAAACTACTACGAAAGCATCTCGTGTTCTTAAACGCTCATTTGAGCAGATGGTGATGGTATCAGTGGAGCCAGAAGTAAAATCTTTTGATACTAGTTTTTCTTTAACTTTGTATTCTAGCCACTACCGCCCAAAGCTTCAAGCAACGCACTCAAGTGTACCAAATCTATAGCCAAGAAATCAGTCGACGACGATTCGATTTTCAAGTTACCAGCTTACATACGCAGAAGTGGCAACAGCAAAAGCTCGGCATCACCTCTAAGAAAGCGCGTTCGACCACTTGTTCGTAAAACTATTGATGTTTTTCCACAAGGTACAACCTCGCATTTAAATAACATTTATTGACATTTTAGGAAGAAACCACGGTGATGTTGATAAAGAAGTAGAAGAAATTTCGAAGCCGACTTCAGTGCAAAAGCTGCTTCCCAAGAACAAGAAAAACTCAAGTCAATTTACTCATTTATAATGTTGTAGTTCTTGTTTAGGCGGTGCCGATGAAAATGCCAATGAAACTGTTGGGGATGTCACGCAATGCACTCTCTTTGACTCAGAGCAAGGTTTCCTTTGACAACTAAAATGTGTGATTAAATTAATATTTTAGGGACTAGTAAAAAGAAGCACCAGAAGCCAAGCGAAGATGGCAGAACAAGCGAAAAAATGGACAGTGCTGAAACAAAGAAACCTCTAAAGGGATCATGGTAGTTTTAACTTTGGAAACGAATAGAATGTTTATTTAGGCTATCAAATACAACCAATGAATGATAACGTTGAACGACGGAAGAAAAACGATGTCGAACGGAAGAAAGGGTATCACGAGAAGCGCCAATCTGGACCGCTCATCAGCAAGAAATCAATTTCGTCTATGACCTCTTCCAGCTTCTTGGCTCGCAAAAAAGTTTCCTGGCAGAACCTTGAAAACGAAGAAAAGTGCTCCAAGATATTACACTCAACAGGATTCAAGACAGAAGATAAGACGGCGTCTACACCATTCTTATCGTCAACGGGCTCCGGCTTTTCTGGACAAACGAAAGCCACTTGGATACATGAGAAAAGCAAAGTTCCGGATTATTCCAAGCCACGCTCTCCAATTGGATTCCATTTGACTGGTGCGGTTTTATAACAAACTACTTTTTGTTTTTGCATGGAATTATTTCATTTTTAGTTTTAGAAAAACCAAAAGTTGGGAACCCGTTGGACAAGAAGCCAAGCGGTAAATTAGTGCCCAAAGTTACCAAAGGACAATCTGCTGGAATTAGTAGGAAAACTTTCGTTGATTAACAACTGCAATAATTTTAGGTTGTTCGATTCTAGATCAACTGATTCCGGATCCAGAAGTTGAGAAAGAAATCAAGGAAAAGAAAAAAGCCGAATTGGAACAATTTGCAAAGGAGCGAGAAGAAAAACAAGTAGCATTATTGTCGGCGTAATTTGCACAATGGCACGCATTTTAGAGAATGATGATGCAAAAAGCTGAAGAAGCAAAGCGTCGCTGGGCCGATGAGATTGAACAGAAGCGTCTTCAAGAAGAGCGAGCCGAGGTACACGCAATGGTGTCAAAGAATATGTTGCCTGCAGCTCAAGTGATGGTTCCACCGCCACCCCCACCGCCAAAACCCATTGCACCACCTCCACCGCCAAAGCTCACCGCACCACTTCCACCAGTACATCCGAAATTCACCGTACCTCCGCCACCTCCGCCTTCGTTGACAATGCTGCCGTCACATTCTCGATGCTTGGTTGTACCACCACCACCTCCTCCACCTCCGCCGCCGCCTCCTCCACCACCACCTCCGCCTCCTCCACCACCACCGCCTCTATTGGTGCCGGGCTCGGCAATACAACAGCGTTTGCAGTCACACATGACACCTCATCAGAGCTGGAATCCACAAGTATTTCTTTTTTACTACTTTTTATCTAAATTTTTAGGGTCAATGGTTTGATGGTGGCGGAAAGGTTGGAATCGGTTGGCGTTTTCAAGAGAACAATGAAAGACGTTTTTGAGAATTGCTTTTTGAAATTTCTTGGATTCGTTCTGCTCTTTTAGGAAATTTTGCATTCATTGGTTTTTCTCTTTGTACACTTTTCATGTCACTTTTTTTCATTGACTAATATAGTCAATAAATTCGCAAGTCTAAAATTTGTTTCTGTATCTTTAGTTGTTTACTTAATTGTTATCGTTAAATAAACTTTATTGAAATCATAGATTAAAATCACCCTCAAAATTAAATAAAACGTGGACCATAATGCAAAATATTCTGGGAAATCCCATTGGGATCCTTCATCGAAGCATTCTACGAGTGACAGCAGTACACTAGAGATATCTATGCGTCTTTTAAAAAGAGGGGGTAGGCTACTTTCCGCCATTTTATTTGCGCAACAGGGTCATTTGCGCAAGTACGTTTGCGCAACTTTTTATTTGCGCAACAGGGTCATTTGCGCAACTTTTTTTGCGCAACAGGGTCATTTGCGCAACTTTTTTGACGTTTTTAAGGGACGTTTTTTTAAGGGAGTTTTTGACGTTTTTTTTTTGTTGTTTAAAATTCTAGTACGGTTTTGTTTATTTTTAAAAACCATTGTTAACTAATTTTCCGCATTTTCCCAAGAATCCGCATCCATCGTATACTGCGGTCAGACTTTACGAAGAAATGACGCAAATAATCAACCGTTTCAAGCTTTCATCGGCTATCAATCTCACTGTTGGACAAAACTACCCACGGAAGAAAACTGTATTGGCTCGACAAAAGCAACGTTTTACTGCTATTTCTCTAATGGTCGCTTGCCCGGTTGCGATTTTGTGCAACATCTTTCTCAGCTTTTGACTTATATTAAAAAAAATTGATTTTTATTGTTGTCCTAAATTTCATTGCTATTGTTGTCCTAACTTTCATTGTTATCGGTTGCACTTTTTTGTTAAAGCGTTAAAATATTTTACTAATGGTTATTAGCTCTTAGAAAGGACTAATTTAGATAAATATTGGAAGGTTATGCAAAAAATTGGAAGATTTCATAAAAATAGAAGAAAATAAAAAACAATAAAAAAAAAAGCTCAAAAATGAAAATAATGATTAAAAATTCGAGTGCTTAATACAGTGTTAAAGTTGCGCAAATGACCCTTTTTGTGCAAAAAAAAGTTGCGCAAATGACCCTTTTTGTGCAAAAAAAAGTTGCGCAAATGACCCTTTTTGTGCAAAAAAAAGTTGCGCAAATGACCCTTGTTGCGCAAACGTACTTGCGCAAATAAAATGGCGGAAAGTAGCCTACCCCAAAAAGAGGTTTACGAGACGGCTGGAGTGGACGATTGGCATGCGACACTTATCGCGTTTTATAATGTGAACACCTTGAAAGTAATATTTATTCGCACTAATCAGTTCAAAGCCAAATTTTTCATCCCTGTTCGTTTCATTTAATTCTTTTATTCTTCGGTTTCTGTTGCAGCGGGACCGTCTCCAACAGGCGTGCATGTTCTGTGAGCGAACCCTAAACAAACAAATACATACTGAAAGAGACTACTGGCAACCAACATGACCCAAAAGACTTACTGGTTGTTTCCGGTGAGGATCGATCGTAGGAACGGAGTGCTTCTTGCGTGGGCGTTTGTAGAGATCGCCCTCAACAACTTGGCAAAGATGATATCCCGAAGGCGTCCTTTATCGTTTGAGGAGATCCGGTCGATTCGCTTGCAAAGTCTAATACCAAGAAATGATTACAACGTTAAAATTCAATTTACTTGCAGAGCGCGCGAGCTGTATGAACCGAATCGCTTGGGCCCTTCACGTCGGTCTTCAGCTCAAGTTCATTTGCATCGGGTTTCATCTGCTCATTGGGTTTCGTGCGCTTGCTTGGCTTTGGCTCCTGAAGAAAAATTATTAAAAGCTGTTTTTGTGGTACTTGAAAAGAGTAACATTTACAAAAAGCGCTTCCGCAGTCGCCAGTTTTTCCTGCTTCGATTTGTGAGGCTCCTTGATTTTCTCAGCCTTACTGTGGACTTGAATTTCCTCAGCCGTCATCATCTAAAAAATTATGTACTTCAAAACACGCGCACAAACTAATACCTAAAAGCGTTTCTTTGCCGGCACTTCTCTTCGCATGAATTTCGTTAACTTGATGAGACACGGACGATAAGACTCCTCTCGGCGTTCCTTTCGTGGCAATGTAACTAAAAGCATACGTGTACACGGAAAGAAAAATCACCCACCGTTGGTTTCGCAACATTGTGCTCGTTGCTTTGGTTTCCGAGGGTCCATCTGCTTCTTTTTATCCTCATCATCGTTCACGTAGCCAATCTCGACATCGACATGATACTATTCAAACCACAACAGATCATTTACACAATTCAAAGACAAAATAATTAAAAGGTCGTACTTGTTCAGCTTTTATCGAAAAATCCTTGATTGAAAGACGAGGCTTTGCAAATGCTACCGTTTCTTTCAGCTCATCTTCAGGAAAATTAAAATATTACATGTTTAAAATGAACCCTATGAAAATGATTAACAAAATGCTACTTTCACATTAAAACATTTACACAATTCAAAGACATAAGCTTTGAAAAAAATAGCTTAAAATAAAAAAGGAAGTAAAGCTCAAAAAATAAAATAAATAATTAAAAGGTCGTACTTGTTCAGCTTTTATCGGAAAATCCTTGATTGTAAGACGAGGCTTTGCAAATGCTATCGTTTCTTTCGGCTCATCTCCAGTTTAAAGTTTTAAAGAACCACTAAGAAAGCAAAACTTGCTAATTAAAAATTTGAAAACAAAACACCAAGAAACACACCTTTGGACATGACCATGAAGCGGAACGGCCATTCGATGTTGACGCTCCATCAGCAACCAATCGGTTGACGGTGGTCGGCGACGATCGTGAGCTTGAGCAGGTCTACCGGCGAGTCGAATTGAGATGTTTGTCGTCGATGTCGACTCGTCATCGCTACTTGTAATCGGTCATTTCCGTAACTAAATAAGAAAAAGTTAAACGTCAATGCAAAGACTACTTTCAAATGTTACACTTAACGAATTGCAGCGGTGAAATTTTTGCTTTCGTCTTTCGCTTGTTTTAAACGACGATTTTAAATGGTATTTAAGTTCTGCAATTTAAAATTCCCTTTTGTTTAGTTCAAAGGTTTATCCTCAAGAAATTTGCATTTTTTTTGCCCCTTTGTTGCTTTGTTGATCAATGGGATCGTTGATGTGGTTAATCTTCGAAATTCGCGGTGTGAGGAACTGCTTCTCAATCAAACAACGATTGAAAACCCGGGAAAAGACAATAGGGGTAAGAGATAAAAAGAGGGGCGGCTTTTCCCCGGTTATTATTGGGGGTTGATGACCGGTCTTTCCTCTCTTGCATGCAATCCATCCCAATCATTCCCCTCTGCATCCGGTCAGTCATTTCAAACAGCCTGAATTTTTGTTGTCGATTGAATAAACGCTTTTCAACTAAACTTTTTGCCACTCACAAGCCCGACTTCAAATACTTTGGATCAAAAGGTAGCCTTTATCTTTTTAAGAGGTTAATTTAATGGTTATTGATAAAGTTAATGATTTTATTCAGAACCATGGGGAGTGGGACAAATGCTACCTTTTTTTGCGCACCCGGACATTTGCGCACCTTTTTTCCGCACTTAGCCCATTAGCGCACCTTTTTTCGCGTTTTAAAAAGCTCTAAAAGCTAATATTAACCAATTTCTATTCCAAAAGTTGTTTTTCTAGGTAATTTTAGGGCGTAGAATCGAAATTTTGGCATATCAGAGCTTGTGGAAGCGAACGGACGGAGTTATACATTTTTTAAAACGCGAAAAAAGGTGCGCTAATGGGCTAAGTGCGGAAAAAAAGGTGCGCAAATGTCCGGGTGCGCAAAAAAAGGTCGCATTTGTCCCACTCCCGAATCATGCCTTTTAAGGCCTTTAAGAATATTGTTAATCCATTGTATTCCTGTCTTGCACTTACTCATTCACAAATTTACCTTATCGCATTATTCTAGACCCATGTGAGACACAAAACTACAAATTGGGAATTGAGTAGCACGACCGGGTGTGTAAATATGATGCTAATTAGTCTACGATGGACGACAATGATCTCTATTATTGGAATTATTGAGGCTGAGGGTGAGTTGAGTCAAATTCTCAGTTTCAGACGCTTAAGCTCAAAAGCCGGTAAACAAATAGTTTGGTAAAGTGTTAAATTTTAAGAATGTATCGTAATCGTGCCAAGTTTTTGCCAGCAGCACTGCTCAACTCAAGAATTCAGTTCCAAAAATCGACTCCTTGGTGAGCGAACTTGGACGCGTTTTTCGGAGTCAAAGCGCTCAAGCGATCGCCGCTCAATTTTCCCGAGAATTTTCCCGAGATAAAGACGATTCAAAACCAATCCGATGGAGTAAAATCATGCAAATTGGTGGAAATCTGGCAGGTGAATGCGTCCGAATTAAGTAGAGTGGTTGGCTTTTGATGTTTGATGAGCAACTGTCAAATATAAACCGACTCAGAAATTTTCAGAGTCTCCCAAGTATGCTTTATTATCAATGCTTCCAATGATAGACTCTTCAAAAACGAGAAGTGGAGGTGGAGATTCTCGATCGAATTTCAATGTGAACGCCTTGAAAGCCTTTCAATCATTCCTTGCCTATTCAGCGACTACAACACCAAAGTATCCGTGATTTAGGATTTTTTTTGGTTTTTAGAAAACATACAAGCATTTAGTAGTAGAATTTTTTATCAGTACTGGCTTAGGGAGCAAATTTCAGGCCATCAGTTTCCTTCAAGCGAATCCTCGAGAACACAATGGGCGCCTCTCCACTTTCTCGATTAGCAGGTCATTTTCATGTTTTTGTATGTGAAAAATAAGCAAAATATTATAAGAATTTGTGATATTATTGTGAAAAATAAAAAGCAAACAGCGTTTAGCAAGTGGGGGATTCGAACCCACTACAAAAAATCCCGTCAGTTTTACAGACCATCACACCAGCCACTGCACCACAACTGCAGCATAAACTCGATCCAAGATTGTATAGCAAAAGCTTTCGAGTTAAAAACCTTGCATTTGGGAGCTATTCCGCTTTGATGACAGATTCGGAATCTCATTCGATTTCCCATGAGCTACCGTAAATACTGTAATAGTACCCCACCGCCCTCGTACAGTCGCGTAGTCGCAGTTTTTAGTATTTCATTTTTTTTCAAAGTGTCCGTACTTTCAAAAAATCCGTCTTTGGTATCAAAAAATAGCTGAAATTCAGGGCTATTTTTTGATACCTAAACGAACATTGTAGTTTAAACCAGTGTCGAGAAAAAGGCGTTCAAAGCTAGACTACGCAACACTCCGCACCGTCATTATGGGGGTGGGGTACTATTACAGTATTTACGGTAGGTCTCATTTCAAAATCCCACAATCATCTAGTATTCTTCTCTAGTTAGATAAATCAATCTTATTATTATATTTTCGAAATCATATTTTTTCAGGAAATCTCTTGGACACAGTGTCGAGTCGAAAACTCGGCTATGAATATGAGCGACCGGCGGAGATGCTTTTCAAGAAAACTTGGTACGGTGAGGTGAGAAAATGTTCAAAATCAGATAATCACAATCGATAATCAGCCAAATCTAATCGTTAGAGATAATATTTTTAATTTTCCAGGCTCTAGGCACAATTCTTGGCGAGTCTCCAGTGAGAGGTGGGGAAAACATGGAAATCCGAAGAGCGCCGATCAATAATCAATCAAGAAATGTTCGGTTTTAGAAAATTCAAAAGATTATGGTGTTTTTAAAATAAACACCGTACTTTCTATAGTCTAAAATTCGTAAATTATAAAATTATAAATTTGAAACCTCAGTTCGGCCTGGCCTCACTTCTCCGTCCATCACCATTCGCCACTCCTCAAGCACCAAACTTCATTAGTTCAACGACTGAAGTGAATATTTTTATTGTTAGCTTAAAATTGAGTGTTTTTTCTAAACAAGTGAATAATTTGAAAAACTACCGTAATCTTTCCTTTCGATTTTGTCCAATTTACTTGATTTTGATCCTATTCGATGAGAAATCAAACTGTGAATTAAATGGAATCAAAATTTAAGAATTTGAATTGAATGGAATCAAAATTAAAGAAATCTAAAGATGTAAACTTTAGATTTCGTCAAATTCGATTCCATTTTTTGATTGTTTTCCAAAAAAAGCCAAACTCAGGTTCCACCGCTTGTCAACCCATTGGAACTCTTCTCGCAACCACTCCAGAATTTCATTGGGATCCAGAAACGGGATAAAAGGTTGTTAAAGATTTCAAAAAATTCCTACAAACTAATGGATCTACATCTACATCTTCAGATCTACTTCAGGATTAACTTCAAATCTCATCTTTAGAGTTTTGGAAACTGGTCAAGAAGCATTTGATCGTTTGGTGATTCACGAGAACGAAGGTGGCGGATTGTTGAGTAATCAATGGAATAAAAAAGGTCAAAAATAAAAAATATTGAAAATCTGCAGAAAACAGAAAACCATATATGCTAAAACAATATTATAGTAAAATTTTGGATCTAATAAAAGAATTTTATGATAAGAATTAACAAAAAGCTCCATTCCATTGCGCTTTTATGATATTATGATAAGATATTATGATAAGAATTTTATGATAAGAAGTAACAAAAAACTCCATTCCATTTTGGATTTAACAAAAAGAAAGAATTTTATGGTAAGAATCAACAAAAAGCTTCATTCCCTTGCGCTTTTTAGCGCTCCACCCATAAAATACCCTTTTGTGGACATTCTCGTAGGTAAGGTTAGATTTATCGGCAGCTATATACGCCTGCTAAAATCAAGAAATTAAATTTAATTAAATTTAATAAAAATTAAAGAATGAAATAAAAAATTGAAAAAAAACTGAAAAATGCAGAATGAAATTTTATCGTTAAAAGGGGGGGGTGGGACAAATGCGACCTTTTTTTGCGCACCTGGACATTTGCGCACCTTTTTTTTTTTTGCTGGAAAAGGCCTTAGGAAAGGTCGTAGAGCTTCGAAAACATTTCGAAAACATTTCCATACAAGGGAATCGTATGCGTAGATTCCGAATTTCGACAAATCAGACCTCGCTGACACGTCAAATTTGGGCTAAAAGGCAAAAACTGCGGAAAAGCGTTAAGTTGCGTAGTTTTTGCCTTTTAGCCCAAATTTGACGTGTCAGCGAGGTCTGATTTGTCGAAATTCGGAATCTACGCATACGATTCCCTTCTATGAAAACATTTTTGAAGCTCTACGACCTTTCCTAAGGCCTTTTCCAGCAAAAAAAAGGTGCGCAAATGTCCAGGTGCGCAAAAAAAAGGTCGCATTTGTCCCACCCCCCCTTAAAAGTCCTTTTAAATAGACGAAAGGGGCGCGTTTTAGAACGCGCCATCAAAGGGCTACGGTAGAAAAAAAACATTCAGGTCTCCAGTGGACCGACGGAAATTTGAGACTCGTCAATATGAAGGGACGGGATTTGCTTGGATCTGAGGTTTAGGAAAATATAGAACTTCATCTTCATTAATACTTCATCTACTTCATTAATATTAGTATTTTCTCATATATTTCTTTTCAGGTAGCCGTTCACGATCATTCAATTGATATTCCGATTCAATCATGGATTGATCTCGCCTCGGGTCTTCTCACCACAGAATAAGAAAAAAAAATGGACAAATTCTCTGAGTTTACTCGCTTCTTTGTGTACATAAATATATTTTAAAGATAATTTTCTATTATTTTATTAAAGATAGGTCAAATTTTTCATTATTGTAATATAATTTTAATAATGTATACCGGGGTTACCGGTGATTGATTTTGCACACACACAATCACAATTTACACATTAAGATCTAGGAAAGATTCTATCGTTTGTGAGGATGGGAGGATGTAGGAGAGATGTAGGAGAGGATATAGGAGAGGATATAGGAGAGGATGTAGGAGAGGATGTAGGAGAGGATGTAGGAGAGGATGTAGGAGACGATGTAGGAGACGATGTAGGAGACGATGTAGGAGAGGATGTAGGAGAGGATGTAGGAGAGGATGTAGGAGAGGATGTAGGAGAGGATGTAGGAGAGGATGTAGGAGACGATGTAGGAGACGATGTAGGAGACGATGTAGGAGAGGATGTAGGAGAGGATGTAGGAGAGGATGTAGGAGAGGATGTAGGAGAGGATGTAGGAGAGGATGTAGGAGACGATGTAGGAGACGATGTAGGAGACGATGTAGGAGGAGAAGGCTACCCGCTTTATATGAGCTTGCGACTTAGACAAGTCTACCCATTTGGATCCCTGCCTATCCCAATCCCGGGGGGAAGGGGCCTAGGGGAACCGGTCTTGGAAACCAGTTCACCATATGGGTGCGGTTACCTACAGCATTCGGTTCAGGGAAGATATCCCTGACTCATCTGCTGGATTCGAACCAGAGACTAACTGAGTCCAATATGTCAATATTGCATGCACTGACTCTGGTGTTAATTAGCAAACGGGCACCAGCTACCATATCGCTTTTCAATATTTTTTATTCGATTTTACAGGAAGCTTTACGATTACAGTCGAAACTAATGTAAAATCTAGTTACATGTTACGGTAGACAAAGGCTTAAAGGCTCAGGGATCTTTAGATATCTAATAGCTCAACTGGTACTATGATAGCATTTTGTTTGTTTTCTATAACTAATCTATACTAACTATTAGTTTAAAAGACAAATTGATCGGCCGAATCTTAAAAGAGTCTATCCAAATAATATTTTCATTAAAAAAATACTTTCGGTCCCCTCTCGTGAAATGTGGTCATTCTCCGTGCAGACACATCGAATTCCCCTTGTAACCCCCTCTCGTTGTCTGCCCATCGTTTCCCCGTCTGACCATTCCTTTTCTCGTCTCCACTCTCGCCCATTTCCATTCTTTTCTCTTTTTCGAGAGGCTTAGATGGCCGTTCTCCTTTTTTTCTCTATAGGTCACCCACTTTGCTCCTTTTTCTCTGAAAGAGAAAGGAAAGGGTGGCGTGTGCGGTGCCTGGTGGTGTCTCGTAGAACTGGACCGCCCGACTGCCCTCTAGCAATACCTCTCTTTTCTCTCACTACCCCATTCATCTCTTTGACTATCTAAAACTCTGCGTTTCCTACACATTATAAGCCATCAGATACCCTATGTTGAGAAGCCTAAATCTCTTAACTTTACAGCCTTCAGGGCACCCTATAAGCCGTCTCAAAATCGCAGGGATCTTTAGATATCTAATAGTCTAAATCTCTTGACTGTAACAGCGCTCAGGGTATCCTGCGATCTCTAAACTCTCCAATAGACCAACTCTTTCCAATGTCTAGAGTCTAAGTCTCCACCCTATACCGTAAACTATCCTCAGCTGTACGTCTAAGTCCTATATCTAGGACCCAAGATAGCCTAAGTCTTTTGAGTTTTCCCCTAACTATTCTATAGCTCTTCATGTGCGGACGGTTTAGTTGAAGTGAGGGGGAAAGGAGTCTAAAAAAAGGCTGGGTGGGGAAAGCGGTGAAAGTCAGTGCCAAGGGCGGGATCGCCTCAGGGATGGAAAGGGGTCCAGCCGGGTAAGATCTAGCGTCAAGAGAAAGCATGTAGTGGGTTCAATTTTGCAACACTCGTGATGAATTCTGAAAAGGAATGAGATCCATTATGCAGCTCTAAAGAAAAAAGAACCCAGACATCTCCTTTCAAGGGCGTTGATTAACGATGAACGTGTCAATTTTAGAAATAGAAAAGGTGGAAGGGATTACGGTGGTTCGAATTTCGATTCTTGATTGCTGTGATTGTGAGCAAAAATAGGCCTGGACTTTCTTTGAAGTCCTAACCAAAAGTATAAATAGTTTAGCTACCGTAATCTGATCTAAATCTTCATCTTCAAATCTAAAAGTTGATCATATGATGATCAAGATAAGATTACTGTAAATGGCTAGAGAGTTAGGGATACAGTTAGGGCTAGAGAGTTAGGGCTAAAGTTAGGGCTAGAGGGTTAGGGCTAAAGTTAGGGCTAGAGGGTTAGGGCTGAAGTTAGGGCTAGAGAATTAGGGCTAAAGTGTAAATGAGCTAAAAGTTTCTTAGAAGAGAGTAAACAATTCAACTGATCCACCATTTCAAAAAAAAAGTTCCGAATTCATTACGAATACGCGCTTTAGAAGCTTATCTAAAGTCGAAAGTTGTGAAAAAAATCCGATCTAAATCGTTTGCGAAAACTTTGCAAGCATTTCATTTCCATTCTACTTCAAATTTTAGTTTAAAATCCATTTCACAGAGTAGTTGAAATGCATGGTTTTTAATGGATATTTTAGAGAGAGTCAAGGTCTACTCAAATTTTCTGTTTGTCTCCCATAAAAGGTTTCCTTTTTTTTGTGGGGGGGGGGGGGGTTAAAAGGGAGTAAAAACCCGAGGGCAAGAAAAGTCTTTTCTTTTTCTTTTCTTTTCCTATTCAATGAATCGATCAAATTGGGGTCACTTTTTAGGGGGAAAAGAGTCTTTTCTCTTCTCAGAATCTCTCATTTCTCTTTCCTAAAAAGTCCCCTTTTTGTACCGTAATCTCTGAGCTCTTTCAGTTGTCAAAATTTCACTGATTTGTTCTAGTTTAGTCGCTTGATTTAGAAAACTAAAAGATAACCCAGCTACAGTAATCCTTTGAGATTAAAGCTGGTTAATATAAAATCAAAAATGATTAGCCACAAGTTTGAGTCATCGAATGTTTAGGTGCAAAAAATAAATAGTGAACTTATTAAAGTAACCTTTAACTAGTACGTCTAAAAACATTCAAAGTTCTAGCACTAAAAGCTGGACACTTTATCGTAATCTTAAAGCTATTTGAAACTAAATAATCCCTTAAACTATTTCACAGTAAGTTGTCTAACCTAAAAGCTCAACCTTTTTGCCGTAATGTTTAAGCTATTTTTGAGAACAGAGATTTTTCCTAGATACAAGCAGTCAATCCTGTTCATTTTCCAAAAATCCTTGACGTCAAAACTTTTTTGTTCATCTCACATTTCTACAGCTGAACAATCTCTCATCACTTTTCCATCAAGAATCTCCAAATTTAAGCACACTCTAGATTTGGAAAGAGAAAAGAAAGAGAAGGAAGAGAAGAAAGAAAAGAAAGGGAAGAAAGAGAAGAAAGAGAAGAAAGAGAAGAAAGAGAAGAAAGAGAAGAAAGAGAAGAAAGGGAAGAAAGAGAAGAAAGAGAAGAAAGGGAAGAAGGGGAAGAAAGAGAAGAAAGAGAAGAAAGAGAAGAAAGAGAAGAAAGAGAAGAAAGAGGAAAAAAAGGGTAGGGTAAATACTCGTTGTTTATAACTGGGAAAGGGAAAATAGAATGGGACGGGCAGAGAGGGTAAAGAGAGAAAGGTTTGGTGAAGGAGACACACAGGACACACGAGACACACATTGCCCCCCGGCTGTCCCCAATTCACTCGACTCGGTCAGGGAAGGGCTGACCCGAAGTCTGTCCCCTCACGGACGAGGCTTCTCCTCTCAACCAATCGTATTCTTAAACTTTATTAACTTTATTTTACCAGTTGAATAGTTTGCAAAGGATTTTTTGCTATTCACAATGCTGTTTTTAAATTTTATTCTTAACTTAGCAAATAGTTTTTCTCTTTTTTGACAGAAATCGATTAGAAACAATTTTTCTCGTTTTTTAAGTTATCCAAGAGTTATTTTTTCAAAAATTCTGACTCACATTCGTACATTCGAGCATTTAAATTTCACCTTTTCAAATAATAAAACTTATTTTTTTTTTAAATAAATGGGAATCTGGGAATTTACCAAAATTATCTTCAATTCCCAATTCTCTAATTTCTCTTATTCTTAATCCCATTTTTTATCCCATTTCTATTTCTCCTGGGAATAAAAGTGCAATCTTTTTTTTCTTCGTCCGTTCCTCAATGAATTACGTTTTTTTTTGGCCTCAAAATGGGTCTCACCAAAAACGTTTGTGGAAATCTGACCAAAAAAAAACATTGAAAAACTTGCACTTTGAGGACAAAAAAAGGAGCGATTGGCACCTTTTTTTGATGAATTTTTTTGTAGTTCTACTTTGACGATCTTTGTCTTTTTTTCTACAGAATAGATTTCCAGTTGAACGCTGAACTTACAGTAATCTAGCTACAGTAATCTAGCTACAGTAATCTTTAAATCTCTAGTGCTTTGAACATAGTAATTCTATAAATTTGCCAACAGCTCTTTCCTTTTCCAATTCAACGTTTAATTTCCTGTACTCACTCATTTTTGGATAGTAGACAAAGAAAGGAAAGAGCTGTTGGAAATTTATAGAATTACTATGTTCAAAGCACTAGAGATTTAAAGATTACTGTAGCTAGATTACTGTAGCTAGATTACTGTAGCTAGATTACTGTAGCTAGATTACTGTAGCTAGATTACCGTAGCTAGGTTACTGTACGTTCAGCGTTTAGCTTTTTTATTGAACTTATATCTTTTTAAAGCTTATAGAAAAGTAAAATTTTTGTTTTGTGCTGCTTCACTGAATATTCATCATTAAACTTTTTGATCTTTTACTCACTTTTATCTTTAATTTATTATCTATTAGTCCGTACTTTCTCTAATAGTAGTGCACCCCGTCGAGCCGAGTTGATGACTATTTGACGGCTTCCAAGCTTTTGCAGAAGCTCAACACTCAAATCTTCGGC